TTTGACTATTTCTGCAATTGTCTATTAAACTTATAACTAACTTGTGTGTGCTTGTAAAGTGAATAACAGGACACTTTCCCCAGTTTTCCAAGCAGCCTAAAAGAACTACTGCATCTTCCTAGGAGGAGTCAGTAAAATCCTAGTCCCCATCAATACAAGTTCGTTATCGTCACTAGTCTTATGTAGGAGAAAGAGATCTCATTAATAATACAGAGACTAACAGTTGCAGTGTTGGTTAGCGTGATAAATCTGGCCAGTGCTGTGGATACGTTTACGAGGGGGGTACAGATGGTTGTACCCACTCTGTACATTTTATTTGTTTGTAAAAATCGAATATGTCATACCTTTTTGTATCGAAAATCTGCTCCAGATTATGTCACACTCCTTGGGTTATTAAATGAAGCTCTCAGTTTAATTTATCAAGGTAAGCATCTGAAATAAGAGTCTGTTTACAGTCTGGAATTCTATGCATCTATATAACTTACTAGGATAGGAATAAAAGAAAATCGACGAATCATTTTCAACAATATTAATGTTTGTGAGATTTACAATTAATAGGATGTTTGACTCTAAGTAAAACTCATATTCATGATTCTGCTGCTTTCTATTTTGGGTAACTAAACATTTGAGCAAAAAAGTAGGTTGTCCTGCAAATAAATGACTTCCTAAGCAGTATGGACCTTGAAGTTGTATTTGTTTAAGGACTAAAGATCATCTGTTAGAAAAACAAACTCTAGGCAAGAAAGTGGTCATTCGATAGTTTGCATTTACAACGATGCAAGTGATTGGAGCAGTTATTTTTAAAGCTTCAAACGTATCTTAAACGCAAACGTTTGTTCCGGTTATTTCACCCTTTTTTATGTCTTCTCACTTTCTCATACCTACAACCGTTTGCACTATTTTGTTTAACAGATTTCTTGGTCACCATAATGTACATAGTTTGTTCTCAAGATAGAATTGATAATAATAGTTTTGTTGACAACCCCCTTCTGCACTACGTTAAAGTGTAAATGACAAATTTCACTCTTATATCAGTCATCTAGGCAGTTCACACATTTCTTGTTGTATACAAACTCCATATACTTGGTAATTTCGGTTCATTGAAGAATACATAGAAGTTATATATTCAAGGAATACGCACATAAAGACCAGTCATTGATTCATTGAGTTTGCTGAGCATTTTATCTAACTTATGTTTCCTCATTGTAAGTGGTTCATCAATTTTTCACAACTGTGTTATGTAAACTGAAAATTTGTTGGACCAATGATAATCTTTTTATAAGCAGCTTATGAATTTTCATTCATCTGTAAACTAATGTCTTTTTCACTAGAAAGTTACATGAGAACTTTATTCTAACCAAAATTTGAATTTATATTTGCTTTATTTCAGACGTATATATATATATTCCCAAGTGTATATTTATCTGAAAAGTTGTTATATTTGTTTGGTAGATACACCAAACCTGTATGTAAATTGAGTTAATCTACTACTCGAGGATTTATAAATAATTCATGATAAATCAGTTATAGAAAGATAGTCTGATTGTGTTCATGAGGTTTGAGCTGCTTAGCACTATGGTTACTTGTTGACGCCTCTCTTCACCCAGTTTATGATAGGCATATCATTCTTGATTTGCGGTGGACAAATAAAAATGATGGCCAAGAAGCAAATGAATTTCAGACTTGATTAGCGTAGACATTTTGTCTGACATTAATTTGGTTAAAAAGCAAAATAACAACACTAAGAGTAAGATTAGATTATACTTACTTACTTGGGATTGTATATTGAAAAGATCTCGATGGTGTTTATCCCCTTGCTGTAGTAACCGGGTTTACCTGTCGCAACGAATCACCAAAGGTCTTTTGACCGTTTCTTAAAGTTGAGCTAAGGGTAATTAATCATAGATCTGAGAAACAATTCAACTACAAAAATGTCCTCTTTCTTTCACCATCTCAAGTTGAAATCGTACTGTTAACAGTATTGTTATGTTACATCGGTTTAATGTTTTCCACGATATTATATTTCGATTATCAAAGTAAAGGAATCAGAAAAGACCAAGTCCAAAAGTAGTTTACCCCTATACTATAGACAAGCAAACCCAAATAAAGCCTTGCACCGCAGTGCATCAGTTTAGATTGCAAGACTTCAGAATATCAAAGGAATCGGAAGTGAACAAAAACAGAATGACATTAGTATATCTGAAAAAAAGATGTGGTAAAAGAGAATTACATTAAGGTTGCTAAAAAGTGCTATCACTCCACTGATTTCTGATGTCAGCGGTAAGGTCTCTGACGCATGGATCTAACCAAACGAAATCCAAATCGAGTGTCTCCAAAGCCATGTGTGACTGACAAGATGCACATCTCACTTGGGTTTCACATTTACTCACCCACATTAATAAGGCTTCCAATACCACTTCAGATTTTCTTTCAGCTAAGTCTGAAACAACCTTCCATAGGTGTGTACAACTAACTCCTGCTAACATCTAGAAATACTCAGGTATCTGCTGATCACAATAATCCCTTTCATCTCTCTGCCCTAAATTCTCTTCATCTCTTCCTGTTAGTGACTTTTCACTTCTTTCAGTCTCTGGCTGTGTAGTCTATGCTGACTATAGAAGTGTACAAAGGAACATTGTCTATCTCTTGAAACCGCATCCGAAAATTACCTACTGAGGTATTCATTGGTAACACCCTACGTTAGCCTCATACAAATAGCAGGTATTGACATGTATTCGTCATAATGGATGGATTTTTTTTAACTGTACACAGCTTAGGCTAGACAGAAGATCACTTAGGTCGTCCATCCGAAATTGCAACCCAGTGAACAAATAGCAGTTACCGCCTGCTCCATTGGCGATCAAAATATTATCTATTCCTGGTGAGCAAGAATATTAGACATAAAGACAAACATTCTCAAACGTCGTACTGCTGACTTTAATCCAACAGCGGACACAAATAGATCATACTAGTATCAGTTACCGTGCGAGTTAGTTTCTAAAGGATGTTTGGAGAATCTCAATCATATAGATCAACATCAGTCACGGTAGCACCTTTTCTATCTACTTGTCTGCCTTGTTAAAAAATTGGCTTGTTGAAAAAATTACGAGCCAGAATATGCAACATATTGCTTTTCTAATTTTTAAATTAATTACTAATCCATATTAGCAGAAGAAAAACTCGAAATATGAAGAAAATCCCCTGTTTTGATATAAATCAAACCTTTATGTTTATAGCATTGCATACTGAAATGACAGTTGTTTTATTTATTGTCAAGTAAGTACCTGACTATCACTGTTCTTGACTGATGCGAGTACACATCTCTCCCCAAGTAAGTATGTATGAACTTTTCAACCTTCAGCTACTCTTGATAATACACTTTACTACTTACAATGTGTAGCAGTTGATGATGAAGAGACTGAGTGACATTATTTTTGGATTGCATGTTGTGTTGATTATGTTTTTTCAATCAAATTACGTCGAGATATCTTGCTTGCTATTTAACAGTGTCTAGTTTTAAATATAACATTTTTTTAAACTGACCTATTTAAAAAAGATTTCAATTGTTCATTTCATTTCATTGACCGTATGTTTTGCCTTTTACGATGAGATTAGCCCTGTTGTTCGTTGTTTGAAATTTGTAATTTCCCGTTTTTATACAGGGTCGAATTGCTCGATCTCTGTTGGCAGATGGGTTCCTCTACGGATGCTTTGATACTGCCTGGATATTCATGATCGTGTATTCATCTTGGTGACTTGCAGTGAAATCCAGGACGTGAATTTCGTCTTTTCTGGGACTTCTCAGCTGGATATGCCCGCACCCCAGTGAGTGTTGTTCCCACTGAAACTCGAACCCGGTACCTATCACTTCAAACACCAGAGCGATATCTGTCAGGCTGATGGGTCCCAAATAGGACAAAATGCACCTCCTGAATTCCCCTGCTAGTCACCAGGATGATTACAGCTCTGCTGTCTGTTTAACTAACCTTTTCAACGTGTAATTAATGTACCTATGGTTCTTATGGAATCTTGATGTTTCTGATTAATTCGTCATCATGGGTATATCAATAAAACTTCTCACTTTAACGTCAACAGTAAGAAATTTTGAAGTGCACAATAGCGTTAGATTCGCTTCCAGTGTGATATAAACCGCACACGTATGAACCTGTGTTAGCATGAGTAGAATTCGTTTCAAACAGTAGCAGTTGGCTTGTCTTTCAAATGATATGGTGTTTTAGTTATCGTCCATTAAATGATACAATATTGGTCTTGATCTGAACCTCAAATATACTATCTTTACGATCCCTACTGCAAATGCAGACAACACACACACACTGGTATGCTTTAAAATTTAACTTGAGCCGGTACACTACAGCTATGTTATTCATCATCACCGTAGTCGTTTCGATTCCATTAGACGATGATTAAGTTGACGCATTTTCGATGCTTACATGCTAAGTAAGTGGATAGCGTGTGTATAGTTAAGAGATAAGAACATTATATCGTATTCGCTTGATTTTTTATATATAATGATTTGCAGAACGTCAGACCGTGATTTCGAATTTTTGTCAAGCCATTTTGTCGTAAATAAGTGAACTACTATTGAGCCACGAAAAGTCAAATTTAGCATAGTGAGTAGGACTATTCTCCTCTTTTCAGTTTTAATGTTATTCAAACTATAAATACGAAGTCAGTAGGAAGTCTGATGTGTAACTAAGTCTCAATCAGAAACCCATAGATAACTGTATGCCATGTTGTAGTTACTTGGATTACGTCTGGCAGCCAAACTTTAATCTGCTCCTTTCACGCTGTACCCTTCTTTCACCTCATAATTGTAACCGTTGAGAGGGATATTTTCTTACCCTACGTTACCTTATTTAACTACTTTCATTCCTCTTGACTTCAAAATTTTCAGGCAGTTGGATAAATGCTGTATACATCACTACATGCTTGAAATACATGTTTCAATGCTCTTTTCTCCCTTTTTCTGCTTGCTATAGATAGCCGCCAATCTGCTTTTATGCTTAGAAGAAGAAACAGCATTTTGGATGATGTGCAGTATTATTGAAGACCTCTTACCCCCATCATATTTCTCATCTGTCAGTTTATTGGGTGTGCAAGCTGACCAGCTTGTATTGAATCACTTACTTCCATTCTACCTACCAGAATTAGATGCATTATTAAAAGAATATGAAATAAGTGAGTTTTTTTAAACGTGTATACTTTATTTAAGTTTACTATCATTTCTTTTCTGGGATACACTATTTGTTTTAGAAGTGTACCTTTAATACAATAATCGTCATGCAAGAATAAATACATATTAGTGTTCATTAGAAGTAAATGGTCAACAAAATTTTTCAAAGTTGTGATGTCTAAAACTAGATTGTAGATTATATTCAATTGTTGTTCTCTCTTCTGATTAACTGATGGGGCGATTGCTCTTACTATCTAATATCCTCCCAATGCCTTTCATACAAGTGTTTCAACCACCAGATCTATATCAGTCTACGTTCCTAAGTAATATCGGAATGAAAACTAAGACGAATCATTGTGTTGTTGTTGAAAAGCTATGTGATGGGTTGCTGTTTGATATCTTAGCTGCACTCATCAACAACTTAGTGGTTACCAATGTCATATTGTTTAGTGCTGAGTGAATTCGACTGGTTCTACATCATAATGCATTGTGTTTGCTAGTAGGCGGTTGTGAGGAATTCATGCGAATCCCAGAGCCTGGGTTGCTGCATCCTTGTTTGGGGTTCATTCAACTTTCTTTACAACGAGGTTTTTTCCTGGCATTATCAAAAAATGAATCCAATCGGTCCTGTACCCTTTCCGAAGTAGCTAAGCAGATGGAATATCGTAAAATCTTACACGAAAATCAAAATGATACGGTTAGCACACAGCACAGAAAGGACGAGAGACTTGGTCAACTGATACAGAACGATATTAAATTCCAAGTGGAAGAAGATATGAACAATGCGGAAGCAAATGGAAACAGTATGAATATTAAACCCTATGTTGTGTTGAAAAAGAAAGACTAAATTGTTTTCTTAATGTGTTCTCATGTATTTAACTTCTCCTTGGTTTCCGAAATAATGTGACTTTTGCTGTATAAAAGCATGAAAAGTAATATACTTATCATACTCCTACACGTTTCTGAGCAGCACTTCACTCGATCAGGTGTACTTTGTTTTTGAAACTTCTCTGAAGCGAAATAACACCAACAGAAATCAACCTTTTTGCCAAGAACACTGAGTGGCTTTTCTGTTTGAATGTCTAATGTTTTTTCATCCTCGTGAACGAATGGCTTTATTATTATGCTGCTGAACCAGTTTATCAGGAACAGCGAAGAAAAACTAGCTTTGTTAACGCCATATTACTTCAGCGTGCTGTTGCGAATCGTACCAACTGAGACTGTTACAAACTCATACCAGGTTACATATTGATAGTGTCCATCTGTTTGACATGAGTTCACCTATTCATTTTCACTTATCCCGACAGCATACTTTTATTCACCGTCATGTAAGTTGACGGTTCACTGTTTTAAGATACCATTGTACACTGTCATTTGAATATTTTCTCTTCTTAATTTAAATCTGATACCCAGTTTTCGTAAGACATAGATGTGAGTTTTCAGATCACCATTTGACATGCTTCGCTAACTGCTTAATGCTAGAGTGCATCGTTTTCAAAGAACGGAACTAAACGCTAAACCTATGAGAAAGGTTATCATATGCAAGTTGGCTCGACACTGTTCCTTGTTCTAATCTGAGAATAGTGGTATTAAGGCATTCTGACGCTGATTATGATTACGATTTTGTCATATAACATTCGATAAATGTCTGTTAAGCAGCAAATCTTTGCCTAATTTCTCTTTCAGCTGGTAGAAGTAGGCTGACTAAAACATGACTAGCTGTCAGATTAATGCTAAGCATCACGAAGGTTCAATTCAACTACTTATCGTTTAGGGAAACATGAGTGTCAACCTAGTTCCACTGTTGTTGTTACTATTTTTGGTTCAACCTTGTTTTTTTCCATTCATGAGGAAATAACTTTTTTGTAACCAATCAGCTTATCTTTACTTTTTATATATAAGACACACGTTTGGAAGGAAGGAAAGGTACCTGCCGATTGGGAGAAGGGCTACCTTGTCAAACTCTCAAAGAATGGCGACCTAAGTGTTTGCAAGAACTAGCGAGGAATCGTGCTCCACCACTGTCCACCGTAAGCAAAATAATAAACAGCATCATCCTGGAGACACTTAAACGTGCTCTCGATTCAAAATTACGACCTTTAACAGAGTGGCTGGCTGGCTGGCTGGCTGGCTGGCTGGCTGGCTGGCTGGCTGGCTGGCTGGCTGGCTGGCTGGCTGGCTGGCTGGCTGGCTGGCTGGCTGGCTGGCTGGCTGGCTGGCTTAAGGAAAAACAAATCGTGTGTGGATCAAATTGCAACGCTACGCTACGCATCATCATAGAATAAAGTTGCCGCCCACAATCACCAATGATCTTCCTGATTGTGGTCGACTGAACTGAACTGGACTTTACTGGACTGGGTCATGTAACAAAGTGTGAGGAGCTAGAAGAGAGGCATACGCTGACTGGACTGATGAAAAGACCCTAGAATATTTGGATTTCGCCACCGATGATGATATCTGTCTGATGTCTTATGTTGCATAAACTCGAGATCTATAGGCGGAAACTAAGAAGTTGGCAGAAGAGGCAGGGCAGCGAAGACGGGACTTCCTTCAGGTGAACGTAGAGAAGACAGAGGTGATGAAGATACCCAACCACCACCACCACCACCCCTACCCTCACCATCAGCACCAGCACCACTACCACCACCAACAACAACAACAAGCACTAATCACCATCAACGGGAGAAATCTAAAGGAGGTTGTCTCTTTCACCCAGCTACTTAGGCAGCATCGTTTCAACTACAGGTGGCGGTGGCGACGACGGCGGTGGCACACACGAGGACTTCAAAGCCAGCCAGGATCGGAAAGACAGCAGGACAGGCCTTCCTTCACTAATCTGAAATCAGTGTGGAGATCCACTGCATTGCACTCAGCATAAAGCGTGAACAAGATCCGCTAATCCCAGTCAAGTCAGTGCTGGTTCAGAGACTTGGCGCATTACGAAGAGCATATCCAACAAAGTGCAGACATGCATCAACAGCTGTCTCCTACCACCTACCCTCATTCGATACTGAAGATGAGATGGATGGCCAGAAAGAATAAGCGACAAGGAACTCACTCTGGCAACGAACCAACCAAGAGCCTATCACCCAACAAATAAACATAGGAAAGTGGAGATGGATTGGATTGGATTGGATTGGACATACACTGAGAATACCGTTTGGGGACATCATGTGGCAGGTTAGGCTGGGCTAGGCTAGGCTAAGTTAGGCTAGGCCATCGAGTGTTACTCAAATGGGAAACGACGAGTTGGGTGTCGGAGAGTGACGTGGAGGAGATGGTGTGAGGAAGAAATGAAAGGTTATGGGCAGTCGTGGAGTCAGGTTAAAAAAGAAGACTGCAGAGGAGAGAGTGAAATGACGACGTGTTACTGAAGCCTTTTGTTCCACTGGGAACCCAAGTGATAAAGAATATTAATTATATATATATATATATATATATATATATATATATATATATAGCCTCAAGCTGAATTTTTTTTACTAAAAGTATGCAGATATTAAAGAATGAATGAATGTTTCTGACTGTTATTCGACCCTCAGGTTTCAGCGGTCAAAGTATTCACCTGCCTTGATTGGTGGATTTAGATATTCACTGTAATATTTGCGCATAAGAAATTTCTGCATTATTCGTGCTAAACACACTAGTTACATTCTTCGGGATGAATTTTCCCAAGTTTTAATGAGAAACTTTTAGAATCAAGTAATTGGTATGTGATTGTATGGTCATCTTTTACATTGGATAATGTTTGCGGTATATCACAAATTGACAGATGCAAAAAAAATGTTGATCGTTGAATTCCGATCTAGTTTCTCAATGATAACAGGCTGACTGGGAAAACTGAAGGTCTTGGGTCCGATCTGTGGTGGCGTCACAGATACGCGCTGCTGAGGTGTCCCAAACTAGGATAAGTCAGATGTTCAGTACTCCTAGATTTCCAGTGATTTACCCGCTGATGTCAGTTCGTAATATGAATACTACCTTAGAAACTAAATATATTTGTCTTACCCCTATAAATACGCTAACTTGAAGGAATTTCGGAACACAAGCTCAGATGAATACTTCGAATGTAATTGGCTAATCCTTCAACTAGTCTTGTTTGCAGATATATCCATCATGATGATTGAGATGAAATCGTACTTCTCTATTATTTTACACTCGAAAACTTGGATGATCATAGTTTATGCCTTTATAGCCGATATATTTTCGATCAAGTTACATATTTTTCTGATTTAATATCTCGCCTGATGTATCTCTTTATTTCCCCGTCTGAAGTATTTGAAGCCTCCATATGAGTAAAGTGGCAAACCAGTGCTGTGATAGTAGATTTTCGATGTATCATCTAACTGGAGAAACCGTTAACATAGTACATAACCAACTCCACTGTTCACTTTGTGTATAAGTCGCTCTAAAATGTACCCACTGTTTTTAATAAGAGTCGACTATTCTATTCATATAGTTGTTTTGTCTCATGTTTTATTCTACGTTTTCTTTTCTCCTTATTTTTAGGTCTACCTCTTATCACACTCCAATGGTTTCTTACACTTTTTTCAAGTGTATGTCCTACTGCCTTAACATTTCGAATATGGGACTTATTATTTTATGATGGTTCAATTGTTCTATTTCGTATCGCCCTAGCACTTCTAGCCCATAAAGTATGTGATATTATTAATTGCAATCATTTTTTTATCAAGGTTATACTGTTGTTTTCGTTAGTTCTTTGTGACCGAAACACCTCTTCAAGATTGAGGCACTTTTTACTTTTTCACTCACAATGAACTACTCAAATACTTTGAGAGAAATCTCAAAATGTTGATGTTTGTTTGTTAGCAAATGATCACTTTGAGTTAAGGCTTCTGAAGTTAGTATGCGGAGTGAGGTGACTGAAAGCAAGAACGGCTTTTTTTGATTGAGTATCTGTGTAACCCTTGCTTTTCTGAGCAGTTGCTGCGGGTATGTAATAGTCACAAGATAGTTGCAAAGCTTTACGAGTTTCTTATCAACAGATCGAGCGTAGTGTATTTTTTTCTGCCTATGCTTATGTATGTCTGTTGAATGTAGATAATATAAGAAGATCATAGACTTCCTATCATCGATCGGTCCACAAACAATGTTGTTAAGTAAAACACACTTATCTTTCATCCTGCTCTAGTTCTGTTGATCACCTATTTTCTCTAATCTTCTGTTTATTTTGTTTACTTCCCCCACTTCCAGTTTTCATATATAATGCCTTAACGAGTAAATGTGTGATCAGATTGTATAGTACTAATACCTCACTTTTTTCAGATAATCTACGTCTTCTAATTACATTATCCAAATTCATAAAACGGACTAATTATTTCAAATTACTTTTTTTCTCAATATTTACTAAGCTGAAATAAAACATGTTTCAGTTTTGTTCCAGTCATTCAATGAAACACTATCAAATTTCATACCCAAGAATAACTGCCTACAATAATTAAAACGCATCTTATCCTGCGAAATAATGATCTAGCAAATGTTGATGGGTAAAATGTATAAATTCTTGTCCACCTACGTTACTTTAAATGTATGATAGTTGTTTCAGCGTGCTGTTTTAAGTTGCCTTTGGGATAATTGCTAATTTTAAGTGATATTCCTTCACCATTCATTCGTAGCGCATCAATTCAACTGCATTAGTGAAACTAGACAGTAATGTTGATTACGCTAACATACCTAAGCAATCATAATCAGTTATGATCCGTATTTTGTTTATTTGCCTACTGTTGCTATGCATGTTTGTTCATTCGCTTGTTTCTGTACATGTGTGCAGGTGTTTATTTAAACCGTCACTTACATCCTTTTGTCTGATTTATATAAGACTAACCAGGCGCCATGCCTTCGAGTGGAATCCAAAGAGGAAACGAAGAGTTGGGCGTCCGAGGGTGACATAGAGGAGATTATATGAGGAAGAAATGAAAGCTTCTGGGCAGTCGTGGAGCCAGATTCAAAAGATTGCAGACAACAGAGTGCAATGGAGATGTGCTACTGAAGCCCTATGTTCCACTAGGAACTCAAGGGGAAAAAAAATAATAATAGTTGAACTTTTTCTACACAATGAATTGCTCCACAGTTTCGTTGTATACGTAACAAGACATTCATTCTAATGATGTTCTCTTATTTTATCAACAATAGACTGGGTCATATTTTGATGGTAACACCAAAATTATGATATCTAACCCTTCGTTAGCCATATCCCTTCGTTCGTTCAACTGAATTTAGCCAGCTCACAAGGTTGACTAGTCTACAAGATTGCTACTAATATTGTGCAGTTCCTTTGAAAATATAAGAAATCGATGGTTGTTATAAATAAACCACTACAATTGGTGCAAATATTTCTGGTTCACAGCTTACTCTGAATAGTGAGCATATAGTTTTGTATACCTCAGAACCAGTACCACGACAACGTTTTTGTATTTGCCACTTGGCGTTTACTACTGTCATCATTGTTAATTACGACCACCCTACACTTTATTACTGAAAAGTGAGGTGACTTGAAGCGATGCGCTATGGCCACACAAATGATGAGTTTGGTTGATAACAGTAGACAGACAATACTATTTTTGAATACCTTTCGTGATTGTATATAATGCCTTGCAGACAAAGTTTAGTTTTTTTTTTATGCATATCGGATTTCGATTAAACCGACTGCTTTTTATTGTAGCAATTTATCTACGATATAGATTAAGTGAGAACAAGTGATAAGTTGAAGCACACCAACAGATTATCACAACTATCATATCAGTCCATTCCTTTATCCCAGCTGCCGAGTGATATAACTTTAGCTGGCTTGACTTAGTGGTTTGATATGCAGTGCACAGATCACCAGTCCACATACTCATTGTGTTGTATCGTATTATGTACTCGCTTCTAGATTTTTTTTGTCCCATTCGTGATAAATACTCTACTGATCGCTTTCAAAAGTAGGAGACTACGTTTTACAATAAAATACACTTTTCTTGATTGCCTAGAATTCCTTAGTTTCCTATTGTCAGAAAGAAACTGTATTACACAAACAATTGCTTGTTTCTCTCCAATTTGACTTGCTTTGCATTGGAATGATTCCTATCTGGCCAGCTAGTGTAATGACGAAAAGACAGTCGTGTATCTGTAATCCACATGTTGGCTAGACAAAGTTCAGACTTTGAAGTGAGGTGGGACTTTATTGGTGACCAAGCATCATGATTCAACTGGAAGGACTTCAAACCAGTTACCTGAGGACCATTTCAGGAACTGTGGTGGTTCAGGCTTTCTTTCAACATGAGTGGTCACTTGTGTAGGAGTTTTATTTCCTTTTCTTTTATCTTGTTAAATCCCACGTTATGGTGGATATTTTTCGCTACCATAATTAAAGTATGACTGGTACAGGGAACTGATTGAATGAGTAGTAAATATTGTGTCAAGTAAAACTTTCTCGTGGGTAAATATTAGGAGAATGGTGTATCAAAGATTTTGTCTCAAAAAAACTACTTATATTTTTGTTTATTCGTACGTGACATATATTGTTGCGCGGTTCTAAACCATCCGCCTGTCAAATGTCAATACTCTCTTCTAGAATTATCGCACCGTGGGACGTTATTTACCTTATTTAGCTAGTTTTTATACCGTTTTATCACTGAACATACCTCATTCTCTTAATATTTAAAATTGTATGGTATGCACAAAATGTAATCAAACTACGCAAGTTGGTTCAGAGTGAAACCTACAAGGATAGGCTATGTATTATATCATTTAGACTCAACTCGTCTGGTCATCTTCAATTCCTATTCTTATAATGCTATCTTAAAATTGCAATAGTTATGCTAAACTCAGCGTCAGTCGGATCAAACTGGTTTCTTTGGCACTTGTTAGTGGTATTTATATAGGAGTATTATTTCTGTATACTTGGTAATGAATTACATTACTTTGGTGTGTATTAGCATAAACAGCACTGAATTCCATTGTACAAAGAAAAATGTCACCTATCATCAACTCACTAATAAACAACTGCCGTCCCAACAATTCATGTTCATATGGAAATCCTCTATATGCTCTCTATTCCGAAACCTACAAAACTAAAAGTCGTCAGCAATCCCCTGATACCGTTTGAATGCTTTTTTTTGTGGTTAATGAGGTGAATGAAGAAGAAGGGACAGAGTGCCTTAATTTCTTCTGTGTCAGTTGACATTTTTTCTCTTGAGACACAATTTATTCTGTTTAGTGTTACCTTCATTTGATTGGGCTTTTAAGAATAATATAAATTGTCAATTGTTAATTTAGCCGATATCGCTAGAAATTTGCTTGTATTAATGAACTAATCAAATTTATCAGTGTTTTGTTTTATTCATTTATTTATATATTTTCGCAAAGCTTTTAACAAAGCAGAAATACTTCATTACGCAAACAAATTCCAATCATTTATTTACTGGTGGCAATATTTCCTAATTACTATTCAAACTGAATCTATGACTATCCGCTCTAAACTGTTGCATGTAGTAGTGCAAGCTTCAACCGCTCTCTCCATTAATCAGCGATATTGCCTAATATCCAATTAAGAAAGGCACCGAATAATAGATGTACTGATCTGTTGTATAATCTACTCCCTTCGAACTGTGTCATTTATCTTTATCTACCGGGAAGGTATGCATAACGTATCAATCTATCAGAAAACTATACATTTTGTAGATGGAAATCTCTACTACCGATATTTCCAACTTACACTCTTGAAAGCGGAAGAGTTCAAGTGAATATCTTATTCCAATCAAGATCACCAAAACAAAATAATACTAGGTCTTAACAGTTTACAGGAGATTACATCGATGAAATTCTTACAGTTATCTGAAGGTTCTTCTAACCAAGAACAATGCAAATCTGGTTGACCATTAATAACGTGTAAAGTGGTATATTTATGACTCCTTGGCCTGTGTATTTGAAGTTACCGAAGGGACAATAATAAATACGTGGACGATAATAACATGATGAGACATTTGAACTGGATACAAATAGCAACTGTTCTGTCTCAGAACCTTATACTCCACTGAGTCGCAAAACTCAGAAGACAGAGACCGCCCTGTGACTGTATAGAAGACACTTTGTTTGATAAAAATACATCATTTATATACCGTTTTCATAAACACATAAGATCACTAGGTCGAAAGTTGAATATTTATTTTGATTGGCTAACTGTAGGACAAATTGTCCAATAAGGTCTTTCCTGGTCATACAGTAATATGAAACGAAAACTGAAATCCAAAGTCTTATACCTTAGCGGCTGATGATTTCCATTTAGACCGCTTCCTATCAGTATTCAATCCCCAAGTGGAGTTATGTGTTCGAACTCCATTACAATTACCGTAGTTTGGAAGAGTCGTTAATGTCGTAGCCTCTTATATATCAGATATGGTTCATAGTCTGATGTATAGACATGCACTGGGTTTCTGAGTTGCATCGCATTCTTCAGTTATGAAAAGAAGTCATTTGACAGCTCTCTCAGTGAGTAGAGTTGAAACTGATCTTAATCCCTTGCAGTGATTTGAGAGATCCTCAAAGAAAATTATCATGTTAGATGTCACGCCTACAAGACTACCGTTTCGCTACTGCTGAACGAACGAAATTTCAACAATTGATTCCCACTATTGTTCTAATTTGCAGAAAAACATTTTTCTGTGCTTTGAAAAATGGATGCAGAAATACTATTGCACTGAATCTAAACTTTTGAAGTCAGTGGTGGGTTAGGGATATTTTGTTGCTTTGGAAGTAATTCTCTTCACAAACTTTTATGCATACTCGCTGTTTGATCATTATTATTTCAAGCATAATTTATACAGTTTTATTTTCTACACACACTTTGATTTTGCTGAAAACATATTACTTCAGACCCTTTGAAATCCACTTATCTCCCTTGTTTAAACTGAATGATAACTTCAGTGACACATGAATACATAAGTGTAGTTTTAAATTTCCACTGTTTTTCATGCTTAAAATTTGTACAAGCATGTTTTGATAATTTATGGGATATAATGTTATGAATTTCATTTTATTTCTTATAGAATAATGAAATTTTAAGCTTGGATAATTCATCCCAAATCTTCCATTGTCTTTCGAATGCACCAGGATCAGTAACTGATATAAATGAATTGATCAAAGTAAGTACAATTTTTCTTCTGGTTTACTTCTCTTATATTGTCGACATGACTTGTGATATTTCTTTGTCTGAGGCTTTCTTCTGCTAGGTACAATGGTTACAACACATCAGTCAGTATTCAAAGACTAGTTATATGTTTCAGTTTGCAGATGGTAATTCATTCGAACAGTTCCACGCTCTTAGTGCAACTTTAACTGGTTTCGTTTTTTTCCAATGCATATTCCTACCTGATACTAATTCTAGTCACAAGAGATTTTTCATTCTCACATCAATTCAGTTGGTGAAAATATGAAAGTTTAGTTTCATGTCTAAAGTTCATTAGAGGATTACCGTGTGAATAATCATTTGTTTATGTTTTAGAAATCACATTTTTGCTCGTCAATCAGTGTCTATGTTTCCTGACCTGGTAGATATTTACTTTCTTGGTCATGGAATGATATTTCAGATTTCTGTTAAGCTTACTTACTGAGCATTGTTCCCTCTTCAAAGTTTGTACTGATTCAACTTCATTTATTTATAATACTGGTCGTTTTATACATGCCTTTCACCAGTTGTTATCAGTCAGTACCTGAGCAGTCTGTTTGTAGAACCTGAAGACTAGTGCAAGGAGTCTTACAACTGTAATTCTGGTAATTTTAAATATACTCTTCAACTTATCAACGGTAGAATAACTAGTTTTTCATTCGGAAAGTTGTTTATTTTATTTGTTGGCTATTTATTTATTCATCTTCATTACAGTGATATTCATAGTCCACTTTATTCACCTTTTCATAGCCGAGTGTTTTTACTGTCCTATAGTATCTTACTTTCCAACATAGTTATTCAAAGTTGGATAAAAGTTACTCAAACCTATTGATTTACGTAATTTTCTTTCAAAATCAGATCGCTTACAGTTTGGATGAAGAGCACTTGGAGCCATCAAACATAAGTAGTCTCAGGCGTCATTATTTAGCCCAGCTTATGGTTGATGAAGGCACTGTCTTGAAACCAGATTCCCGTCCAAATTTGCCCAAACAGGTGAGAGAAAGTTGTAACTATGCCTTTGCTTTTTTACCTTACTGCTTAACACCATTTGAAGACTCACTCATGTACATGTGTAGCCGATCTTATTCTCATTCGCATCCAGTTTTCACCACAGGTTCACTCAAGCATGTTGCGGTTATCAGTTTTAAAATCTTCACAATTGCTTTTTATGTCTGCAGCTAGTAGTTAAAAATATTTATCTTTCCCATGGAACATTTTAACTTGAATATCTCGACACTGAATTAGAAATACTTTTTGCATGTTGTTTCATATAGAGTTTAATTGTGTCGGGTAGCATATCATACAGCCCGAATCGTATTTAAACATACTACATTCGCGTTGCTAGACAGAGCTGTTTATTTGGTATCATAATGCACCCTTATTCTAGGTTGGTAACATAGCTGACTGCGAAAGCTCCTGTTTATCCCCAAGCACCTATATTTTCTTTCAACGCAGCAACTGTATGTTCCCACCTATATACATATGTTGAACATACTAAAAGCTGGTTCAGTCACATATGTCAGTGGTTTGTTTTGTTTTGTTGTGCATTCAAATGATCAATTCGTGAAATCTATCCTGAGTGACTTCAAAGGGCCACCCTAGCAACTGCAGGGACAACCAATCAGGTTTCATTATTCCTGCCGGCAGGGTATTTTTTAATAAAATAAAAGAAAGTAATTGGTAATTTCAGTAGACTGGTCTTGTTACAAAATTGTCACATGTAAGACATTGTCCAATAGAATTATTTTCATAACTTGTTTCAGTTATAGCTATATCTTACTGGCTCAGACGGTTCACGTACGACTAGTAGTTTACATGAACGAACTCTTCTTTAACTTCGAAAGTCTTAGTAGCTGTGATGCCCCCTGTGACGCTAAAACAATAGTTCGATTCATAGCCTCGTGTGTGAAATTACGTGTCATTTTTAAATTTCATTGAATCATATTATTTTAATATATGCAATCTTATCCCGTGTCAAAGGTGTCTAGTATTATCACCAGTCACCTCAAATACAAACCAATTTTACAAGCACATGATTATGTAGGTGAACATTTCATCCATTGTTGATGGTATGAATTAGAAATCTAAACTACCTTAGTTGATATAAATTTGCAATCTTATCAGCCTTTTTCATTAGCACATTTATTTGTCTAACTCGTATAGTCTCACCCTGCCTCCTCCTCCTAGACCTGAGTTACACATTATCACTTTGAATATAACTCGAAACATAATCTAAACTGTCAACCATGGTCTTGACTCTGGATGTTCTTATCGGTAATAACTGTATTTTTTTAAAATGAAGTTAAGCTTCCATGAGTTTTTTAGCACCACTTTTACTCACTTTGGATCTCCTTGGATTACAACAGGGCGATGACTTCCTTAGTAGTTTTATGTTAACCTTTCTGATCTTGGAATTTATAAGTTGAGGTAGCGTTTTTCAATGTCATTAACTAAGAGATGTCATTAAAACCTCTACTAAAGTAAGTGCCTTCTGAACATAATGGTGTGGGATGACATTGTATTCCGGATCCTTATCAGTGAAACGTATGATAATTACAACCATAATCATAATTAGAAGTCTACTGTCATTATATAATAGTTTTTTTAAAGAGAATGTCCCATTGCAAAAATGCTAGTTTTTTTAAAAAAAATACTTATCAATCACTTATTCCATTTTATTACTAGACGGTAATTTTTTTCGTCTATCTATCTACCTGTTGTCCACTTATAGTATTTAGCTAAGCGACAATTTCAACGACCTAAATCCCTGTTCGCCACATTGTTTGCATCTGTAGCATCGAATGCGCAATTATATCGCCGAATAACTGGTATGGCGGTACCATTTCAATATCCCATTGCTTATCATGAGATATCATCTTCGTCGTCATCATCGGCGCGTTGTAAACCTACTTATGTGAATGTTAGCTTACATGAAGGCAGCTTAGAAGCAGATGATCCGAAACTGAAAAATGTACACCAAACAGAAATACTTGTAGAATTAAAACATTCTATTCAGTTGGTAAGTTAGATGGGTTTTTTCCAGAGACAATTACTTTTACATTGATTACTTACTGACGAATAAACAATTTTATGTTTTCCTGTCCTAATTGCTGACTCAGTTGTATCGGTCATTTTATAGCGTGGTTAATGACTTTCTTTAATATAGGTGTGAAACTTGGGCACTGTGGTCGAATTTAATCCCACATTAGATTTGTTTATTTGATTTATAACACACAGTGATCTAGTATCATTTACTTGATGATGTTTCGAGCGTAAATTATTACTGCTCATAATCATATTAATGTAATCACACTACTTTCAACATTTGATTTTTATAGTTATGCCACTTTATATGAGTTGTTTTTTATTGGTAGCAAAATTTTCCATACCTCTGGTATACGTGTTGAGTCATTTCTATTACATGTGTTCAGTGTTGATTCAGTAATCAATCTCTCTCTCCACCTAATTATATTGGACTTGAGTACAGTGGCTTTATCCCACCCTATTGTGTGGTTGTGCTAATGCATGCATAGCAATAGCCGAGTTTTTTCTAGACTATTGATCTTATTTAGGTCTGTTATTCTATATTTAGCAAAATTCCTATGTTCGGCTATTCTAACTGACCCCGACCGACTAGTTTGACCTATATAATTGACCTCATAGTCATTGAATGGAATTTTTCAAATTAGATTATTTTGCTCAGTTAGATCTATCGGGTCCTTAAACCAACAAAGTTTATCTCTGAGTTATTTCGTAGGTTTAAATGCCACCCTAATTCCAGCCTTGTTGAGGATCCTACGTGAAGTTTCTGATGTCCCTTCCTTATAGGGTAATACAATGGAGGCTGTGAACTCCTTTTTACGCGTGTTGTTGTTATAAGTAGCACTCGTGTGACTGCTATTTTTTTTTGTGTGTCCGTAAGAATTTCTTGATAAATTGCGGAGGATAATTACTAACTATTAGCGCTTCTTTTACGTGTCTCAATTCCTTGTTTAGGTTCTTGCTCTGACTAGTCAGTTTTCTAGCTCTATCATTTAGACATTTGACTAATCCTGCCTTAACTGACATTGGATGAGATGATTTGAAGTCTAGATAGATACCAGTTGGAATGTGTTGGTTTTCGATAGACAGTAGTATCCAAGCCACCGTCTGTTCTTTTTATTCTGCAATCCAACATAGGTAATTCTCCTTGTTCATTTACTACCTCCTAAGGGAATTGGATTGCGTTTACTACTGAGTAGTATCTAGAATGTGAACACTAGGTATAATTATTATGAAGTGAGTGAAAGCGGTTTGGAATTCCTTCTCGTAGTATGAGATAATTCCTTGTCCTGCATTTGCCTGTATATCTACTGATAGTTAAAATGATTTAGGTTGAAGTTTGCTGTCATTGAGAAATGTATTTTATTGCCGTTTATCCAATAACTTTTTGATTTTAGCTGAAATGAAATCATATACCTTTAGATCTATGAAACCTAGATACTTGTTTCTTCCAACTACATAGTAACATAAAAGCTAATTAAGGTTGGTGTGAAGCATCATACTGGGTTTTTTATATGACAACATGAAATTACATTCTAAAAAAGTACACAATTTTTACATTTATATTGGGTGAAATACTTTGTCTTCAGTAGGTGCAGCGATACTTGCCTGTTCTAATTCATAAAACTATCTGAATGCCAAATGTTTAGTTAACTAAAGCATCACTATACGCTGATTGTATTGTAAATAGAGTAGGATGATGGTGGTTTGGTGTTCCTATAGCTTTGATATTTTGTCTTGGACGTTTCATCACCAGGCTTGGTAACACTCTCAGCACTAACTTCATACATGCCATAGGTAATAAACCATATATTTGTTGTTTGACGGATAATAATAATAATTGGCTACCTAGACCTCACTAGATGGAGAAGAGTTTGAACTCCTGACTTACTGAGTGTATAGACCAAAATACTCAAAACTGAATTGTGTTAGGTGCAAGGAAATGGAAAACAAGGGTATTCAAATGTTTTAATTATATAACAAAAATGACCAAAAAAAGTAATCATACCCTGTGTAATTTTTCAATCTCATTATTTCCACTTCTGAGTTCCGCCATTAACACAGTTTTAGGATGGTAGCCTTCATAAATTTTTTATTTTACACCAAAGTATAGTGCTGAAACATTTAAAACACTTCACATGATTAGTATAATGACTTATAAAGATATGCGTTATTGAATCGCCTTCAAAATCAAATCCTATTACAGAGAGTTTTGAATTCGTTTGAACATTTAAATATCAGATGAAGATCAAATTAATCAGTGTTAGTAAAAAAAAAAATGAGGCTGTCTCATCAAGTTCAATTTACTTGTCTGTACTGTGAAGAATACAAATTATTTTCATACATATATCCCTAGTATTTGGTGCCATCACTTGTTTAGTTATTTATTAAAACTTCAACTGTAAGTTTATGTCTAACTTAGTGAATATAAGTATATTACTATGCAAACCAAAAAGTGCTTGTCAACATTTTCATTGCATGGTAATCACCTAAACCTCAAAGTTAAGCATGATCACTGCCTCTTACAACATAGAATTAAAGTGGTGATAACGCAGTTTATGATGTTATATGTAATAAGAGAATTTCAAGGAAATGTGAATGCGATACAGTTTCAAGACATTTTGAACAGAATAAAAAGCAAAAGTTGTATAATTAACTAGCCACTGCTTACATTTTTATGTTTATAACGTACACAGATATCCTTTAAAGTCAGGTTCTGATTTAGAAAAATCGGTAGGACAATACAAATATGATGTGGATTATAGCATTTTCCTACAATTTTTTGGTTTAAACTATACTGAAGAGAATGTTTAATCCTACACCTAAGATATAGTGGCGATATATGGATGACCCATTTACTGTGCTGAAATTCGAATATGACAGGTAGTTTCTTCACACATATAAAGTCATTTATAGGTGCAATCCAATTCGTTTACGAGGTAAAAAATGATCAAGAAGAATTAGCTATTTTGAACTGAAGGCTCCAATATCAGCTAAGGCGGGTCTAGTCAAATGTCTAAATAACCAAGTTAAAAAAATCAGCCGTAAATGCAAAAACTTAAATAAGGAATTGAAACATATGAAAAGACCGCTACTAATTATCAATTATTCTGTACATTTTACCAACAAATTCGTACAAACACATTAGAAACATAATGATAACAGAAATAGGTTCAAAGCCTGTGTTGTGTTGCCATATAAGGAAGGGACATCAGAAACTTCACGTAGGATCCTCAACAAGGCTGGAGTTAGGGTGGCATTTAAACCTACGAAATAACTCAGAGATAAACTTTGTTGGTTTAAGGACCCGATAGATCTAACTGAGCAAAATAATCTAATTTGAAAAATTCCATTCAATGACTATGAGGTCAAGTATGTAGGTCAAACTAGCCAGTCGGGGTCAGTTAGAATAGCCGAACATAGGAATTTTGCTAAATATAGAATAACAGACCTAAATAAGATCAATAGTCTAGAAAAAACTCGGCTATTGCTATGCATGCATTAGCACAACCACACAATAGGGTGGGATAAAGCCACTGTACTCAAGTCCAATATAATTAGGTGGAGAGAGAGATTGATTACTGAATCAACACTGAACACATGTAATAGAAATGACTCAACACGTATACCAGAGGTATGGAAAATTTTGCTACCAATAAAAAACAACTCATATAAAGTGGCATAACTATAAAAATCAAATGTTGAAAGTAGTGTGATTACATCAATATGATTATGAGCAGTAATAATTTACGCTCGAAACATCATCAAGTAAATGATACTAGATCACTGTGTGTTATAAATCAAATAAACAAATCTAATATGGAATTCATGACTTTCTGATGATGGCTCCCAACCATCGAATTTCAATCAAATTTAGCCGTGATGCTTAGTCTTGTAGCTTTGATGACCGAATTAAGGAATTCTGTCTGAACCAGACAACATGTTAGTGTTTCTTCTACAGTAAAGCAACCAAAGCATTCAATCCCTTCCTACCGCAGAGCAATTCAATTGTGGGCTAAATACTTCTGTAGTAACGTATGTCTCTGACTGCAACACTTGGTGATGTACATTCAAACCCCTCAAGGGACATCCGTTAGTTCCCTCTAGATTTCAGATACCCCTTGCTGACGAGTACCAACAAGTATGAAACCTATGTCTAGGATTTCCTGCCAATTTCCTACGACCGTCTGTTAGATATTACTTATGGTCATCTTTTGGATTTGTCCTCTTTTTATCTTCTGAATAGAATATGAAAAAGCTAACATGAAATCTGTTTTGCGTAGATAATAATTGACGAAAGTGTCAGTTGTGGTTAAATAATTATCATCATCTCAGGAGTAACATTTGTTTTCATTATGGTAACCGTTTAGGAGTTCAGCTTACCACTGTTACACTCTTTGAAAAAAACGATTCATTCTCAACTCGTTAAAAATCATACAGTATTTTTTAGTAGGTAGTAAGGATTTGGACGATACACGTTGTCTAACATTTGCATTACGTTAGTTGAAAAAAGAGGAATCATCATGTAACAAATAGTTTTTCAGAGTCAGGACTAATCATCGCATAAACCAAAGTAGTAGATACTCTTCTATGCAATATCCGGTTTTGTAAGAAAGTCTTTCATTTACTTAGATGTCTGACTAAAATAGAAATCAATTCATAAACTGAGGCCAATAAGACGTTAGTCGAAGTTGTCACACTGTAAAACTCATATGTTTTATACTGTGCGACTGGGCTCTTATTTCCAGATCTAGATTGAGGTTAGATGCTAGACTAGAATAAAGAAAACATAAGAGCATATCACTAAGCTACATATACAATATAATGGCATCGTTTGGTTAGTGAAACACAGTATCGGAAACCAGTGTAGGTGAAGTAGTGTAATTAATTTTAAAATGTGTACATCATAAAGATTACTTTTTCGTACGTTGCTAAGTAATTTTAAAGTGAGAATATTATTAAAATGGTATTACAATAAATGCGGACATATTGATGAACTTAGACTGCTCTTCATAACAAGAGACTGAATAAATCACCTATTCACAGAAACCGAAGTTGAGTGAAATATGATTGGTCAGGAATGCTGAGGCTATATGTATGCAAATGGCATATGTTTTCTAGTATTATGCATTATTAAAGTTTTAGTATAATTGTTTTTATATCATACAGTTGTTGATTGGATCGAATTGATCCGTCTCTACTGACATATGGGCTCCTGGATCCCACTACTAGCCACGATCCATCATTAACATTATTAAAGTTTGTTTACTGGGCAAAATACTCAGCTATTCAGTCGGTCAATGCTCCCTCAGAACACATCTGCTGTTTTTCAAAATATTTCAGGTCTTGTCGATACTTCCTGACGAAATCATTCCTCTCATGTGTAAATATTCTTTTTTCTATTTCTTCCCACCATAAATTTATATCATACCACCACCTGTGTTATGTTTATTCCCAGGATAAATAGTTTAAGCCTTAGTCTTTCATCGTCCCAATGCTTTCCTATCCCGTATATACAACAGCAATAAAATTATTTTTCACTGGTCTACTCACTCTATATGCCTTATACATCTCATTTTTTTTTCAAATTAACATAATAGAATAATAATTGCCTTCACTAAAAAGCATTATAAAGGTGTCTCAACTCATGCATAATCTAAACTAATCGTGTGAATTCTATTATACTTCCGATTGCCTGAATCTGTGTCAGCTAAAAGAATCTACTTGCAGTTATTAATAGTAGCGTTTCCACTTCTGCTATAGATAAGTATTCCTTATCTTGATAAGACGGTGGGCGATACTGTACTTAGAATTAATTTACTAACAAGACAACCAATTAAAAAGAAAGCTAGTTGACTGTATAGTCATGGGATTGCCTAGGATCTTTATCGAACGCCCTTGATTCCCGTTCCCTGAGATAAATTAGTGAGTAGAATCTACAAAGCTGAGTAGAATTCATTATCCTCCATCATACACATTATGAAGTAAACGGTGTTAGAAATTTCAGCTCGTGCATTGTTACCCAATATTAATTAAGTTGATCTTACAGCTTGAGCACATAGATTTTTAAGTATACGGGTTACATTCTTACAGCCATACTCAAAAATGACTTCAACCTACCAGTTGAGAAACAGGTTGAACGTTGAGGTATCGTGTCATTTATTGGTGAAAAAGTTTTTCTGAATTTCTCGTATTGTTTTTGCAATCATACCTTTTTCCATAGATTGTACGCCATTTCCGAACAAATGACCCAGAACAACATGGCAACGCTACTGCACATGCTGATTATTCAATGGAAAGTCACAAATTAGACCTCGATTCCTATGTACAGGTAAATAATACGCATTTATGATTTTCTTTTTGGCTTTTCATTTGTCTGATACTTCTAACAGCAGAATCCCACCTAAAAGTTGTATCCATTCAGCTAAATTCTTTGCACATTCCTATATATGCTTCTGTAGTCTTGTTTTCTAGCGCACCTGATTAGTTTTTTTCATGATAACCGAACTTCAGTTAAAGCATCACAATGAATCCAGTAGCATTAAACATGTATTCTTTTGTTGTATCAGACTGCTTAGCTATGGTCACACTCCTTGAGAGAAATGCCGGATTTTCATATCACCTGTTAAGCACGTTACTTTCCAGTTGCTTCACGTAATGTAGTAGTTAAATACGCATTAATTTTATCCCAGTATATGATGCCGGTTATTAGGATTTGTACTCAGTTCCACTAGATATTTAGCAGCATTCTAGGGTTTTCTCAGTGAATGAGTATGTTTTCCTTCATCTGCTCGGATAGAACCAACCAACTACTCGATATACAGTATACCGATCATTGAAATAGGAAGAAAGCTTGGTTAGCATCCTTGGGGTTACTTCAGAAACTAAATTTTTCACTCTATATGATTAGAAAATATATAATTGTTTGTCGTTTATCACACTCATTGTATGGTCTGAATCTAGCTAAATGAAAATGCAACGTAGATTACTTCGGTACAGACAGGTAGCCTAGTTAAATTTCAGTATTTGAGATAGCCTTTTCAGTGGTAAGCTGACTGCCATTTGCAGTGGTAATCAGCTACTGAAAGGAAACTTGTGTATTGATTTTTATGAAAAAGCCATCTAAGTTTGATTCAAGTGATTTTTTCTAATGTGTAACAGTGTTTTGGTATATTTTTAATCACTGAACTTTTCGACACTGTCAGGCATTTTCTTCATCTTTCTTTTTGAATTTTCCCTTCACTCTCGTGTGTTCTAAACTCAGCTTACTTGCTTCTATCATGGTCATCGTCGTCTATTTTTTTATTCTCGTTATGAGGAGGATTGTAGATAGATTCGACCATTTCCCACTTTTGTAAATACCTTAAAAGTCAACTTTAATAGATAATATTTTTTCGTGTTCAAAGTAATATTCGTTCTAATTTTGTTTCTCATTTACTCACTAAACCGATTTTTAGAGTTTCATGAAAATTTAATAAGTTTTCAGTCTGCGACACATGCGTGGGTGTCCGCCTACTTTCTTTTCTCTCACTTTTTCCCATTGATTCATGTTCTCTTTTTTTAAAGTGATAATTAATGACTTCCTTTTCTTATCTATTCATATTATTTCACAACTCCTTTGTCTATTCTGTCTTTTTTCTGCTTGCCTGTTACTCATTTCTTCTTGACTTTTGTTCAGATGCTTGTAATCGAAGACTTGGTTAGTGGAGCTGTTACTCATTGGTTTAGGGAGCTGACTTTCCTAAAATGGGTCGCGGATTCGAACACCGCTCGACTTACCGAGATAGGCGTAGCTTATTGACTAATGCACGAATGTGCACAGGTTTGTTGAATGCATTCTAACTAGACTCGGTTGCTACAGTACTATCCAGCTATTTACAAAGTGATTCAACCGAGTTAATGTGCATGCACGCAATAAACCGATAGTCACATCGGAATAATAGGTTAGAGGCCTGTTGGTCCACTTATCAGCCTTTATAGAAAGCAGAGCAACATATCCAGTTTAGAAAAATAATATTCCTACTAGATTGGTGTCTGTAGAGATTGATCATATCGATTTCTTTTGTTCAACTTCTGTAAGATTGGTATCCTCAACGCAGCATCACAACAATGTACATGCGAATTTATCCGTCTTGACTCGGCCACCTTGCTTCTTCATCACTTTGAATTCATATCCACAAGTGTGCATACATTTATGACGTATGTTGTTTGCAACAGATGTTTTAGACTGCTTTCTAAATGAGTTTCGACTTAATCTAACATCTTTTGGTTTGTTCATCGTAGAGTTTTGAAGGTTTATTAGCGATGGTTGTTTCAAAAGCTCTAGAAATTTAGTTTTCGTGTACTTATTGCGATGGATAAACCTGTAGCCCTTCATCTTTTAGTAAGGACTTATTATATACCTACTAACGTTGATATTATTTATTGACTACCACTTGTGTGTAGGTCAGGTCATAATTACTTTGTCATCGTTATACTTTGAATATAACTGACTGTTACTTGTCATCATTGTTCTTGGTTATGGAATCTTGTTATTGTTGGGATAAATATGTATGTGGATCGGCGTTCATTCTTTTAATCTGGATTCAGTTTGTCCTTAGGATATTCGTTGTTAAAACTATAGAGACTCAGAAGTACTTAATATAACCACCCAGTTTGTTTTGCAGTTACCCAAATATCATTCCACTATTTTCACATACAAGCTGCTACAGTAACAATAATATTGTATGAGTTGCCTTTTTCTGCTTGTTTCCTAAGGATAAGTTAAGTTTCATAAATTTATAATTTCATGGCGCAATCGGATTAGGATGCATGCAAATGATGCTTCTTTTTGGTAGTTGCTTCGTTTCTTTTCATCACGAGATGATGAATGAAACTTACACTGTGTACTGATTTACCAAGTTTTACCACTACTGTAGTATTCACGTTCACTAAAATGTATTGATCAATGATTTTACAATATCAGTGATATATTTGTGTAATGCAAACGAAGACATTACCTAAACATCGTCCCCCCGAAAAAGCACAAGTTGCTAAAGAAACTTATTCAAATCGACATGAATGATATTCTGTTCATGCAATTATCACAAAAGAAGTTATCATATATCGGTATTTGCAGTAAATGATGCTATTGTTTGACATGTTGCATACTAGATTCAACTTTTACTGAGAAGAGCATATGTATCTTATTCGTAAGTTGGAGATTAGACAGAGTTCGTTTCATGTACTTCACTGGTACTCATCCTCAAAACATTATGACGATGTAATAAATATCATTATCGTGATGTTGACAAATGCAGCACATGTATCCTACAGAAACCGATTGGTACATTTTAGAAAATCAACTGTGAATATATGGTAAGTTATACTAACGCTTATTTTTGTTGATATCTTCCGATCATCGTTATGGTTACTTAAACATTTTTATCCTGGTATATACACATTTCTAGGTTGTACAACATCGTCGACGACGTGCTAAGGCGCTGATTGATTTTGAACGTTTTGAGATCGATGAACTGGAGTTTCACAAAAATGATATATTGACCATAATTAATTCAAATGATGAACATTGTTGGATTGGTGAGTTGAATAATCAGCGTGGTTGGTTTCCTGCTAAATTCGTTGAATTGTTAGATGAACGTGGAAAAAATTATTCATCCGCTGGTGATGATGGTGTAGATAAGTCGATTGTTGGTCTTGTACGTGGCAGGTAAATTCTCTATCTCTTTTTGACTTTATTGTTTAGAAATTTTAAAATTATAGTTACTTTCCTTGCCTATAGGGAGTTTTTTTAGTACGATTTTTTTTATGAATTCGTATGAAACATGTGTACTTGAAGATACAGTAAAGGTGTATAGAAAAAGATAAAATAAGAGTATCAGGTGACGAGATGAGAAAATGCCAACTAGGAAAATAATGACATTGAGATGTGGAATACATTCTTGAACTTAAATAAGACTCCAATTATGAACTAATATTATTTCTGGATAAATGTTCGCTGCCGATAATTACACAACTTTTTGTCTTGATTAACATAGTTCTGTTACTCTTCATCTTTTGATTTCCACATCTCTGGGATCAACGTTGAATCACTCTCATATTTGTTAACCGGTAGACTCAATACTGATAAGGGCTTACATTTAGTTCCAAGGTACCAGTAGAATAAATCTCAGAATGAAATATAGAAACACATAAAAGGAGAAGCAGTGAGTTTATAAATATCCTCAAAATGTAGTAGACATACAAATGAACAAGTAGGAACACATTCTTCTAGGAAAGTTTAACCATAGCGAAAGTATGCAGGTAATAAATTTTTGATGTAGCAATCATAACATAGACAAAATGCTTGCAGACACTAGATTGATGTTTGACTGGGTTTAATCTACATTCGATTTAGAAAGTGAACTAGTTGAATTCACTATGTTAGATTGCAAAAGCAAGAAAAGTGAATGTTTAAACACTAGTGTCTACAGAAAGCCTTCCAATTAAGTGTTACTTACGCTTTATATCATCTCATCCCATCGGAATTAATCGAAATAAGGTAAGAAAACTGACTTGAAATCAAAGATTAGTATACATAGAAAGGGTATTGCACAACAAATGTTATCAATAATTATGGTAATAAATCCCCAGAAAGAGATTTTAGACTTCTACAACGAAAGAACAGACATCAGCAACTCCACACAGGCGTCTCACTAAGGGTTTCGTTAGAGTGGAATTCAAACCAACACACCAACCTTAAAGCAAACTTCATCAACTCAATGGTCCTATTTAATCTATTAAACAAAACAAATTTGCTAATCAAATGTCATGTAGTAAATGTTAGGGTCAAATACATAGGCCAAACTGATCGTCTGGGGTTTGTCTTGTGTGAACAGGACATAGAAACTTAGCTAAATGTCGAATGCTAGAACCATGTTAGAAAAAAACTAGAAAAAGTAACCATTGCTATACTTACTGTCATATGCAGATAGGCAGTGGGATGAAACAAAGTGACAGGTATTTAAAAATAAATTAGTTGAAAAGTGGAATTGAAAACCGATAACTGATAAGTCGAATTGGTATCCTGAAATTGCTGTTTGTATTTTTTGCTGTATGCGTTCACAGGTACTAAGCTGATCTGTATGCTTTCATTCTGATCAAATTATTCGATACAGTGCATACTGATAAGGAGTTATTATCCATTATCACGTCTCAGTAATTAATTACAAAACGTTCAGACTATTTTTCCGCAATCTTACTGGTCTTTATTCTTGTATCTGGATTATTTATTGAAACTTTTTAGGCCATCATTGTGATATCAAGCAAATGGGTAAAGGTAGCTTGTTAGGACTAATTGGAACATCAAAATACAAGAATTATCCACCTATATTAAACTTTTTTCAATTTACTTGCTCATGAATTTATGTGGTGGTTTAACACATGTAATATATGTACCAACCACTGCATTCAGTGTAGATTCATAAATGCGTTGACTGGCTGACATTGTCTGACTAACTCTCAAAGCATACAAACCCTTTGCTGTATACAATTAGTTAATGCGAATTTTGAATCACCACAGTTTGTGAGAGAGTATGTATATTCGGCTTATTTATTTTTGACCTGATAAGATTAATTTAGCAGAATTAAGGTCATGAATTATTTTTTTTATTAGAATATTAGAATAATGAACACGAATTTTTTTTTCCTTTAGGGAAGGAAAAACTTTGAGCTAAATTTATCGTATATAGGCAATAGGGCGTAAAACATAATTTTCTATTTATCCTTCTAGCTTTTTGTTCGCCTTTCTAACTCACCTTCATTATTCCAATCACACCCATGAGTGTGTCTATTTGTAACTACGTTGAATGAATGAGATTTTGGCTGTGTGGTTTAAAGGCTCGATTGTTGACCTACGCGTCATTGTCTCGACCCCCCCAAAGTTGAAGCAACTAAGTAGTATCGCTGGAATTCCAACAATAGATATGGTTCATAGTCTACTCCATAAACTCGCCAGTCTGTTTGGTTTCCGTGAACACGCATTACTTCGCCAACTGTTTACATTGCAAGAAAAATTCACTATCCTCTTATCACTATTCCATTTTGTGCATTACGTTGTGCATGGAGAGTTATCATTAGAAATAATAACGTCTATTGATGTTCTGCAGTGATGCTCACTGTCATCGCTCCTGCCTAACTTTGTTATAGACGTATTAATGGACATAACCATACGTAGGTCTGATTTTACAGGGACTAATCTACTACCTGTAGGTCAGTCATCTGGTGGACTTTGAGTATGCAGATGATGTTGCCCTGCTGAGTGAAGGCGCTGACAAAATGCAGCATCTCAACGCGTTGAGCAGAAATATGTGTATGTTTGTCATGCGCTTCGATGGCACGTGTCAGGTGTGAGATGATGCTCCAAGACTGGCCTGCTGCTGCAAGTACTACCAGATTAATGATAGGGAGTGAAGTGGGGGAACATGTCAACCAATCCACTTACTTCGGAAGTTGCTTCAGCCCAAATGAGCTGGTTGCTGACGAAATCTCACCTGCGACAGAGAAGCTTGGTTTGGCATTGGCCAATTCGCATCACCTGTCACTCCGACTGGCGAGATATCCATCTGTCTATCAAACAACGAGTATACCCCCACTGCACTCTGTTTTATCCTGCTATGCGGTTGGGACAAATGGCCGTTAAAATGAGAAGATTTGAAGTCATTTTCAGCTTTTGATCATAGGTGTATTCATAGCATTGCTCGCGATTGCTGGAATCATTGTGTGAGTAATGTTGAGGTCAGGTGAAGGGTACTAGGCAAGATAGGTAAGTCGATTGATGATGAGGTTGTGAACTTCCATTGTCTGAGGTGGCTTGGACATGTACTGAGCATGCCGAGTCACCGCCTACCTCGACGTGTCATGCTGGGAGAAGTTGGATCAGGTTGGAAGAAGGTTCAGGATGGCCAGACCAGAACATAGCACTAGTCGATAAAGTCTCTGACCATTAGTCTGAGTTGTGTGGGGAGATGAAAACTGTCTGGTTGGGGTTCCAATAGTTGAGGACACTTGGTGACATGGTTGAAAATCGGCACAATGTCGCAGATGTATTTATTCACTCCTTGATATCTTCTAAAGAAGTTTGAATATTTGCACTAATTGTTATCTTCAGATTGTTTATTCTTCCACATAGCTTTGTCTACTTTGATATCACTCCTATTCTATCTACCTGTTCTCTGTGTACTAAAGTGAACTGTGGCAACTTGAGGTGATGGATATGTGTGCGAGGTTCTTCGTTGATTCCGTCTCTCTGACTCATTCATGAACTTGGAATCTGCAAGGTTGCATTTCTGTATACTCAATAGTTTAAGAGATGCAGGTGATATTTACTGGCGTTTTCTAGCCACTTTCTGAGAGTTGGCCACGGTCTTCATTGGTTTACTGCATAAAGCAAATGCAACCAAGGTTCCTCTGAATGAGTGACGTCGTTCTGTTCCTGTAACTGTCTAGTCAGTTATTTGCTGAAACCAGCCCTGATATTCTCATCGTCGAACTGCACTCGTAATGATATTTTGCTATAGTTCTTTTACGTGCGTTTAGACGCAAACATAAACACCCTGGGGCCAACGCACGGTCCCTTTCTAAACATGTGCTTCTGAGGGTGCACCAGTCTTCTACCCATCCTCTCCATCGATAACTGATAGAAATGTGGCATATCTGTGTTCACTGCTGAGTTGAGCTCGGTGGACACTACGTCAGGCAATGTTTTTCTTCATGTCTGAAGTTCGCGTTGGTCAGAAATAGATGACTGTTTGAGCACAGATGTAGCAGGCAACCGCCATTATCTGTTAGTTTGACTGGGATTCCGAAAGTGCCTACCCATTTGTGCATTGAAATCACCTGCTACAACAACCATGTCTTAAGGTTGATTTTCAGTAGTAGGCTAGCAAGTGTTCGGTAGAACGTATCCTTTACCTATTCCGAGTTACAGTAAGTGAGTGCGTAGGCAGAGACTACAAAGAGACAACGTCAAGTCTTACCATTCGTTTTAGTTCTCACTGTGCCGTTCAATAGGATAGAGCATAGGTGACTAACTTTTAACCGGGATACAGTCGAGAAGTGAACCTTCTGTGTTACTGCGCACTGCTGTATCTACACCTGCAAGACCACGGGAACTAACTATCGAATCTCCAGAAGCTGGGAGAGAGAATTTCGTGAATTCAATATACTGGCCGGTTGAGGGTAAGTGAATAACCGCACTTGAGTCTTGTGTGGGTGCTTCACAAACGCAGCACATGTCCGTGGCTGAGATGCCAGAGTTTTGGCTAGTGAAGCTTGTTGGCTGGCCTGATGGAGGGTGTGATGATTGAAGGTTCCGATGTGTAATTTAAAGGGCAGTTTCGAGAGATCGGAGATGCTATTCCGTGAGCCCAGATCGTTTTTAAGAGCTGTAGGGCTGGGAGAAGTTAAAGGTGATGTAGGATTATTGACCGAGATACGTGAAGAAAGATTAGAAGGAAAAATTTGGAAGGTTGATAATGATCTGAAGGACATTGAGCGCTGATAGAGTTATGAGAGTGGTTGAAAGTTTCTCAGCCACCCACAATATGGAAGGTCGTTCTTTTTAAGGTACCTGAAAGAGAAGGGTTAGTGCATTACCACAGCGCAAAAGGGTCATCTGCATGATTCCAGTCACACGCGGCTCGTTTACAAGTTTGAAATCTTAGTTTTTCGCTTTAGAATCCAACTATGAACCCATGTCACCGGGATCGGCATGCGGCGGGGTGACGAAAGTGCTGTTTTTGGATCGACGTTTTGTAACCCCATCTCTACCTTCGTATGTGGAAGGCACCATCAGCTTGATACTGCTGATCATTCAAGGGAAACACCTCACTGTTATCATACCGCCTTCCAGCTAGCAGTACGACTCCACCCTTAAACCCCCACTACAGTGTAGCAATCTACACTACAAAGGTAACTTCTTTCCGTCTAACCATCATCCAACAGACCCTTCTGGTATGGCATGGCCTTGAAAGAGAAAACGTTCCATCAGCGTAGCTCGTCGGGTCACTCTTATAAACAAGCCCGACCACCTTGTCAAAGAAGAAGCTATCAGTTGGATTATTTTGGATATTTTGAGTCACTTTTTTGATGATAATCAACGTATTACTAAGTCATTTTAGGTCACACTGATGCTTATCTGGAACACTACTTGCTGATGTGTCATATTCACTGGCTGAAAGAGATACGAAAGTTTTCGATTTTATTACCACTCTTTTCTTTTGCACTTATTAGTTCCCTTGTCATGGGTTTGCTTTTTTGTCCATGGTTATCTTGCGACCCCCCAACACTCCTTCTAAAGTCAAAAGCTCCTATTGCTTATCATCGGAGTTAAATTCCTCTTGGCAAGATGAAAAGTAGTTATTTTTCTGCAGTTTATGAAACTGTGTTTATGGACACTCTTTATCCTATCCCACTTTGTTGTCTTTTTAGATATTTTGTAATCAAACAACAAGATGAATTGGATACAGTTTATGATAATCCTAGAGCTGTTTGTTCGAATTCTACCGTAGCCCATTTTTTCATTTCATTTTTAATAATCACTTCATATCAATAACTCCAGTATGTCAAACAGTGACTATCTCAGATTGTCTCACTAATAATCAATCCGGTGCTTCTTTTAATTCAACTCTACTTGGATTTGTGCGAGAAAACAGCTAGGCAACTGGTGTTATCATGATGAACGAACAGTTACTTTTCGTACATTCACATGACAGTTGGGTAAAAACCCCAGTCATTGTAGTGAAATTAAATCCTCATCAGAAGCCAGTTCTATTAGTTCAGTCTGTGACGTGGGCTTTCATTTCATCTTCAAGCATTGCCCCGTATAATAAGAGTTAAAGTGTTTATAGTCCATAAGTATCTAAGGTGATATTATTTCTCTAACGCATTTTGATAACTCGTTGCTACTGACAACTTAAGACTGTGGTTTTTTAATTCGAAAATGATATGCTCTCTCTCTATTTTGAAACTTGAAAAGGAGAGAATTCAGCGAAGAAAATTTTTTTTTTGACGATATCATTTTCTAAAGCTGTACAATCTTATTTATATATGTCACAAACATATCACAGTATTATTGAACAATAAAGTATAGTTGCATCATTAAGCAAATGCCAAAAACTGAAATCAAGAACGAAAAGTAGTCGCGCAATAATCGTTTAGACAATGAAAATAAGGTAAGGAGTTTGGCAAGGTGAGAATTGTCGGTAGATGTGAAATGCGAAGACTAATTGTTCACTTTATATCGACATAGGGAAGTTGAAGAAACAAATAATGGTCATAGTTAAGGTGATAATAGTAAACTAACTAATTATAATGAAATTGAAAAATTGTGAATGTGTTAAGACTATGGTAAAATGAGATTGAACATATTTCTTCTGCATACAGAGATCAAGCTTGAAATGGTGAATTGCCAGTGCTTCTGCTGTGCACAACTGTCGAAAGCGTACTCCTTGTGGACTATTCTTTTTGGCCCTGTAAATGACACTCAAGAAGGATTCAGGTGAAGCTATGTGTCCAGACTAGACCAAATGTCCAAAAACTGAACTGTTAGTTGATTTTTATTCACTCCTGGACAAACATGCAGGATAATCCTCAAAGATACATTTGGAAAGTAGGTGCTTTGTTCGGTCTGTATGACTAGCTCCATAGAAGCAAGTAAATTTGTAGTCATATATTGAAGTGGCCCAAAGCCACAACTTGTCCGTAACACATCCCGAAACCAATTACTGACTAGAGAAGCTGATATGTAAAGTGCCACTATCACTGACGTCCATCATGCATCCATAGTCTCTCCACTTTTCCCATCACATTTATAAATGTAATTTGAGCAGGGATTCTATATCTCAGGTTTATTAGGTCCTGGCTTTCTGTGCGATGATTCTCTGGCTACCTTAGATAATAAAAAACACTCAGTTGAACTGTCACAGTGTTGACCATTGGAGTCTAAAAAATATTTCTTCTCTGACGTTCCATCGTTCATATCGAAATTAGCTAGAAATACTTTTCCAATGCAACTTATTTTTACTAGACTGATATTTATGGTACAATCCATTTCCATTCTTCATGCTCTCAACTTCATTTTAGTCTTTGTCATTCTCTTGGAGCTGTATTTTCTCATGGATTAAAGCGACCACGTTTGCTTGGAGATGCTGGTTGTCATCCATGGCATTTTATTGAAGAAGCTGCAGCTAAAGAAGTGGAAAGAGACTTTTCTTCTGTGTATTCACGTTTGGTATTGTGTAAAACCTTTCGACTAGATGAAGAAGGGAAAGTACTTAGTCCAGAAGAAGTGTTATACAGAGTAAGTTTTGTTGTTTATATGATTGATTGTATTATTTTTCTTGGCATTTGTGTAATAAGCGTCCACAATAACTTCTCTGGTTAAACTAATTCATTGATAATACTGGTTTGACTGGAGTTCAAAAAACAGTAAATTTTATTTGCATTGCAAAAAATAATGACATTCTTCACTAAATAATCTACGAACCCCTGCTTCTGTTTAATTTCCGATGTTCCAAACTGTTCTATCAACCGGAGACAAGCATGACTTCACCGAATGATTTCCCCAAGTTTTCTTCAGTCTCTATTGTCATTCTCAGATGGATGACTATGTCCTCCTAAAGCCAACTAATTAATTCTGTTACTGAATTTTACCAGACGTCTATCGATACAAAAAAGCTTGGCTTTTATGGTTAGTATGATTTAATACTCACAGTTATGTGACTTTCATTCTAATGCCAATTAGTTAGATGTTAAACATTGCAATCAAAGCACCATTTTCTGAGTAAAATAGCGTTGTTTTATTTAGCCGGTCTTCTCGTAGTCAGTGAAAAGAAAAGTACAAGAAACATATCTTACATATAAGATTTTTATGTTCAGTTTGGCATTGAATATCATAAAAAGGGGAAGAATGACAATCCTACTTTGGTTTGTAGAAGGTAGCACAGTCATAGGAACCCGATTCAGCGTTTGTATGCACGACTAAACGGTCACAAACACAATGCCTTTTTAGTTAGCGTTTTACCTCGACAATTTCTACGTATTTACGAAACTATAGCTCAATTCTGATCTTTTTTTACCTACTGTAAAACATTTGTCAGCATCGGTTATAAAAATAGAGTATTTTATGGTAGTTTCCTTTATGGATTGATATCAGATGAAGAACCGTTGAGAACCAAGAAGCATTCAATAACTGTTTCGTCTGAGTTCAGGACTATTCTGCACTGTCCACCCACTATCCCATGAGGGGTCGAGCCCACTACCACCAAATCTCATAGTTACCACGATACCGTTCAGGCAATAGGTCAAAATATAATGGCTCACACTTTTTTTAATTCAATTTTTTCAATTCACGATGTCGCATGACCCACCATTCAGTATCATCTATGAGTATTTATCTTCATATTCGACTTGGTTGGTCCAACTGCTCGAAGCTTTTTAGTAGAACTTCGGGAAATATATCCTGAATTAAGTCACCAATGAACACCGAAGGGTGATTAACTCGATTGGTGAATTGTGGGGATTCATTCATTTTAGTCTACTTTTAATTATATATTGAGATAAACTGGACAACCAACGGTAGCCTGGAGGAACTGAACAGCTGTTCCGTCCTAGTTTGACACTACTCAACATTTCACGCCACTAACGCTATGTCATATATCTCTTATTTTATTCGATATTCTATGCATCTAGATTTGGTCACTTAAGTGCTAAGTTGAACAGAATAAGATCTTATATATAAAGTATGTTTACTTTACTATTTTTACCGATTGACTACGATTTCCTCAAAAATGTTATATACAGCTGAAGGATAGCCTATGCAATAAAATTACATCTTTTCTTATTTTAAAAGAGGTGTTTAGATTACGTTCAAATTTTTCCAGGGAAAAAATACATCAAGTCATCACGTTTTGCAGCATAGTGGTTTATGTGAGAGATTCGGTTCTTAGAAACTCGATCGTTAACACACATACTCAAAATCTCACTTCACATTTTTACGGGTATTTAATGGAAAAGATTAGCTCATTGAATGAAGTCTGTTGTGCTGTCTTGGGGCAGGTACGTCCCTACCATAGGTTATCATCACTGAATGTGTGAAGTACGTTGGATATTCATCTTGTCATCAGATGCTTCAGTTATGTGATGAATCTTAAAGGCATACCATACTACAGCCTATTAACCTTCATCCCTAAAGAGAATACTTCAAGTTTCATACCTCTGAGTGTAACTTTGAGGACTAACGAACATGGTGTAGAGTCTGACAGTCATCGGTTTGATCACAAGTGAAGATATCGGTCAGTATTACTGAAGGGCGGTAGCAGAATGTGTACACTGTCATTGATTGCTCAATTGATGACCTTTAAATATGACAGAAATTCTCATCAACTTAGCATCAGATGGATGATAACTGTCCTTTGATGTTATTGTCTTTATTTCACACTTTCTATATATATATATGTATATATGATACCCATGATCCAATACAATTGCTTTAGGGAACAACACCTCTACTTACTATACGTTATTACTATTCACAAAGCATCTACAAACTTATGTCATTTGAACAAAACTTATTCATGTGTACTTAAGGGAATAGCTTTTGAATATTTGATAACGCGAGAGATCATTAAAGTTTCTTGTCTCACACGTAGCATCTCTCCCTTGCTATTCTCAACAATATTGTTCATCATATGAAATTGTTTATGATGTACTGCCTCAAAGAGATATAAATCACTTACAGATTACTACTATCACTCTTACGTGTATCATAGGTGAAGCCTTAATGCACACTTGATGCATAGAATAAACAACTTTAACTTCCCAGCTCTATGATTACGTAACTTTGTTTTCGTATCATATGAAATGGGTGTCCGTTATAAACTGGTTGTTTTTAACTACTTCATTTTTTGTTTTTCTTCTACCTTTTCTCCCTTTATATTTTGTCCTGTTTGCTACATTGTCGAAATCACATGCTCCTTGCTCAACCCACCTACTCACTATTTCAACTACGCCTACGAATTTTGATCCGCCCACTCTCTTGCGTTGACTTGTGCAGACTATTCACAGCATAAATATGTCTCACGATCTGGCCAATGCTCATATGGATATCAAATTTCGTTCACTCATTTGTTGTGGCTTAAAGTGAGTTTTTTTGGACTTGCGCTTCATTTCCCTTTTCTCTATAACATGCATTATATGTATAGATATCTTCGTATCCTAGAGGAGGATTTGATTGCTTATTCACGCTTACATATTCCGGAAACAAGAGACCGGCCATGCCGTTCAGCTCTCTTTACTGATGGGGAACTACTTAGGTTCATAATGACAACTGTAAATGCACTTCTTCTTGCTGATTAGAGTAATATTACACCATAAGTTAACTTAGCATTTCGATTGGCTGCTGCCAGTTTCTTGTCTTGCTAAATCTCAATCGTATGCTTCTGCATACCAAATGTTTTGGTGTGATATTTGAAGTTCCATATTCTTTTCTACCATCATCATTCATCACTGGCGCATATTAACTACCATAGGAGTAGAAATCTCAATATGACACTTCAAAGCACCTACCAAGGTTTAAACACTTCCCATTGTTGTCCATGTGTAATTATTAGAAGTGTAATCACTACAGAATATTACCTGTTTCATTTTAGTTATACGCTCACCTCTCAAAACATTTTTGATCTGAACATTTAGTTCTCTTTAGAAATTTGAAAAAAAATTAATTGGTCTGATTTTATGCAATTTGCGTGAAATTATTAAAATGATGGTGAGAGTATTCAGTAAAGTGACGTCCTTTGCTATTAGAAATCGATCGATAATTCGGAATGTATTGTCGATTAGAGAATCCAGAGTATTGTGACAGTGAAAATCGAATATTCCAGTTCATAATGATTCCTTACTGATATTGAAGAAGATAGAAGACAGATACGAAGGAAGGAACGTTTATTGTTAACACGTGGGACACTAGTCGTTAAATATGGTACATCTTGCACTAAAACCGCCATTTGCAAAATGTTCTTCATTTCCTCTTCTGCTTCTCTCTTGATTCCCTGTTCATACGTCTGTGTTGTCTCTTGCGTTTCTCTTGGCAGAATCCTTACCCATTGCTGGTAATTCCCTATGATTTCTGCATCCTCCCAATATATACTTTTTATATCCATTCTTATTAGCAACGCACACTACATTACGACTTAGAGACAAGGTTCAAGAGTTGGATATGATCAAAGTAGAATCTAGAAAAACCAATAACTAATACTGATTAGTAGATTGCGTTACATGAGAAAAGTTATGGTAACAAGAGAGACTGGTCACAATCCATTTGCATAAGTACAGTCGAAAGCAATTCATCGCACTCACCGCTGCTCAATACAGTAATCTTAACATGCTCTACATTACTATCATTTCCTCCTGTATTTATTATAATCCTTATAACGTTTTGGCAATTTTTTATTATTATTATTATTATTATTAGTCCCTTGGGTTCCTAGTGGAACATAGGGCTTCAGTAGCACGCCTCCAGTGACCTCTGTTCTCTGAGATCTTTTGAACCTGGTTCCACGACAGCCCAGAAGCTCTCATTTCCTCCTCGCATGACCTCCTCCATGTCACCCTCGGACGTCCAACTCGTCGCTTCCCATGGGGATTCCACTCGAGGGCCTGACGCGTGATGTCCTCAGTCGGCCTTCTCAGTGCATGGCCAATCCATCTCCACTTCCTCCTGCATATTTGTTGCGTGATAGCTTCTTGGTTGGTTCGTTCCCAGAGTTCCTTGTTGCTTATTTTTTCTGGCCATCTGATCTTCAGCAGCGAGCGTAAGCAGTTGTTGATGAATGTCTGTAGTTTATTGGAAATGCCTTTCGTGACGCGCCAAGTCTCTGAGCCATACAAGAGCACTGACTTGACGTTGGTGTTGAAAATCCGTATCTTGTTCCAGATGCTGAGTGCAGAAGATCTCCACACTGGTTTCAGGCTAATGAACGCCTGTCTTGCTTTTCCGATTCTGACTTTGACGTCCTCGTCCGTCCCGCCTGTAGTTGAAACAATGCTTCCTAGATAAGTGAAGGAGGTTACTTCCTTCAAGTTTCTCCCGTTGACGGTGATTGGAGTTTGTTGTTGTTGTTGTTGATGGTGGTGGTGCGGTATCTTCATCACTTCTGTCTTCTCTATATTCACCTGAAGTCCCGTCTTGGCTGCCTCTTCTGTCAACTTGTTAGTTTTTGCCTGCAGATCTTCAAGTTTATGTGACATTAGGCATAAGTCATCGGCGAAATCCAAGTCTTCTAGGTTCTTTTCCGTCGTCCAGTGTATCCCCCTCTTCTCGCTGCCTACTGTTTGCTGCATGATCCAGTCCACCACAATAAGGAATATCATGGGGGATAGTAGGCAACCTTGTTTCACTCCTGTCTTCACTTCAAAGGCATCACTGAGCTTCCCATTGTGGATTACTTGGCATGTGGCATCTTCATATAGTTGTTGAATGAGGCGGATAAAGGTTTGCGGTACTCCGTAGTATTGAAGCAGTTTCCAAATTACTTCTCGGTCGACGCTGTCAAAGGCCTTCTCAAAGTCGATGAAGTTGAGGTATAGAGCTGATTGCCATTCTACGCTCTGTTCTATGATGATACGAAGTGTTGCAATTTGGTCAGCACATGATTTGTACTTCCTGAAGCCTGCCTGTTCCGGTCGCAGTTTTGAATCCAGTGCGTCTTTAAGCCTCTCCAGGATGATGCGGCTTAATATTTTACTTGGGGTGGACAGGAGAGTGATTCCGCGCCAGTTCTTGCAAGCACTGAGGTCTCCCTTCTTCGGCAGTTTGACAAGGTAACCCTTCTTCCAATCGTCAGGTACCTTCTCTTCCCTCCACACCTTCTGCAATAGTGGTGTGAGCATGTCCGCTGTTGTCTCTGCATCTGTTCTCAGTGCTTCTGGCGGTATTCCATCTGGTCCTGCTGCTTTCCCGCATTTCAGTAGCTTTATGGCGTTCAGGACTTCCATTTTCGTTGGGGGATTTATGTTCACTTGTAATTCAGCGGCTGCAGGTGGTATTTCTGGACGAAGTGCAGGTGGTGGTCGATTCAAGAGCTTCTTGAAGTGGTCGGCCCATCGTTTCCTCTGTTTCTCTTCTTTTGTAATTAAATTTCCTTCTTCATCTTTTATTGGTTTCATCTGTGTTGGTCTCTTCCCTGATAGCAACCTGGTTATTTGATACAATGTCGTCAGGTCTCTCTTACCTGCAGCCTGTTCTGCTTCACTTGCCAGTGTTTCGTAGAAGTGTCTTTTGTCTTTGCGTGCACTCTTCTTCACTTCTTTGTCCAGTGTTTTATACATTGTGCTCAGTTCCTCTTGTCGTTGAGCATCCTTGCACTGGTTTATCTTCTGCTTCACCATCCTCCTCTCCTCTATCAGCTTCCAGGTATCCGTCGAGATCCATTCCTTGTCTTCTTTCTTCTTCCTTCCTAATACTGTTGTGCAGGTTTCTTTCCACATAGCTTTCAAAGACTTCCAATGTTCTTCCACACAGGTTTCTTCAGGGATGTCCCTCGATGTCTCCCATTTTGTCTTGATGGCTGCCTTGAAGATCTCCTTTGTAGTTTCATCCTTCAGTTTCCTAGTGTTGTACTTGAATTGAGGTCTATCACCAGCTTCCTTGAAGGCTTTTAACTTGATTTGGAAGGTTCCTTGCACTAGATAGTGGTCTGAACCTACATCTGCTCCTCTTCTTGACCTTGTGTTAAGTAGACTGCGTCTCCATTTTCTTGAGATTGAGATAAAGTCGATTTGATTTTTAGTGTGTCCATCTGGTGAAGTCCATGTCGCTTTGTGGATATCCTTGTGCCTGAACACACTGCCTCCAATCACCAAATCGTTGAATGCACAGAATTCTGCAAACAATTCTCCATTCTCATTCATTTCACCTAGCGCCTCTCGACCCATGGTTAGTTCTCTTCCGTGTTGTCCCCTCCCAGTTTGGCATTCATGTCGCCCATTAGAATTTTGATATCGCCAACTGACGTCTTGTCCAGTGTTGATTGAAGTTGTCTGTAGAATTCCTCCTTTTTCTCTTGCTCTGCATTATTTGTAGGTGCATAACATTGTATGATTGTGACCTTTCTTCCTTTTGAGTTGAATCTTGCTGTCATGATCCTGGAGGAGATTGGTTCCCACTGCATGAGAGCCTTCGATGCTCTTGAGGACATCATGATAGCCACTCCCTCAGTGTGCTCGTGGTTGGCGTCTGGGTGACCGGAGTAGATTATTGATTCTCCAGTTGACAGTTTGGAGAGTCCACTCCCATTCCATCTGCTTTCGCAAATTCCAAGCACTTCGATGTTATACCTTCTCATCTCCTTTGCAATCTGGGCTGCCTTACTGGGTTCAAACATCGTGCGGACATTCCATGTCCCCACGTTTACTTTCGCTTTCATCGAGAGAAGACACATCGGCCAATTGGCTTCCCGAAGGCTTTCACCAACTGGCGTCATTTCGCCTCTCCGATTCCAGCGGGGAATAAGTTTGTTTTCATTTTTTATATTTTGTTTGTGCTTTGAAGTTTCTTTAGCGGTTAGATTTGTTTTACGGGGTAGGGTTGCTAGCCCTATGCCCAACCTTCCCTCTTTACCCGGGCTTAGGACCGGCTAGTAACTAGTAAACTAGTTAACCAGGCGAGGTTAATTTTTTTTTTTTTTTTTTTATAGTGAGCAACTATTACACTTATGGTTCGAAATTTTATGTTCATCTGTAAAAGTAGTCAGCAAATGGTATCATCCTTGGTCATATTTACGCAGTCCTGGATGGGTACAAATTAAATGCGAACTACGGTAAGTTTTCAAGCGGACAATTTCACAAGTATGTTTACTCTTTTTTATGTCAATTAAGTTCCATAGATTAGGCTATTTTGATTAACTTTCATGTGACAGTGAAGTTTAGATTAACATATTTTCATCATGTGTTACGAAGAAGACGCATCTGTCTTATCGTTTGCTGCAATCTAGAAAACAGAGGTGAGGCCTAATATGATGCTTAAAATTAGATGGGGTCAGTATCAATATATCAGAGAGTTTTATTGTTAGACTGCGATTGACATAAAGTCACGTTTACGTACTGCCTAACATATTAGACTAAGAAAGTTGCTTCTCAAAAATAAGTTTGAAAAAGTTTGCTACTGCGTTATAATTCATACTTCCACTTTCAGCTGATTCCTCAGATATTATATATTGTGATCTCCTGTTGCTATGTTCTGAACTGATGCATACTCGTGAACACATTCCTACAGACTCCGATCATAATAAGGGCTGGAAGCAGCTCAAATGTAGATTGACAAGAATTCTACACAATGACTGCGATAGGTGATGGGAAAGGCAACGGAGATAAGGGAAAGTAGTCGAATACTTAAACTTATCAAGGAAACTGGAGCAAAACGTCCAATGGTTAGTGAGATCGTAACACAGAAGGATAGGTCTGCGATTCACTCACGGTGGACGACTGGAGCAATGGGTGGGACACTTCGAGAAACAGTTCATCTGGCTTCCACCTACTACTCCGTTACCCTCTATCTAATAATATTCTGAATTTAGATGTGAGATACGGCCTGCAACATTTCAGAAGTCAAGAAACCTTGAACGAGATTGGGTAGTTGGTCGAGGTGAGTTGGTACCGGAGGTGTTTTAAAACGATGGTCATGGATTATCGGTCAGGTTAACTGAAGTGCTATTTAGCGTATGGGAATCAGATATGATTCACTCCAACTAGTCTTAGTCATAACTGTCTGACTCTTCGAGAAAGCTGAGAGATCCTCTTTTGAAACCTCAGGGGAGTCACCCTCATAAACACAGTTTCTAAGACTCTGTAATTATAGGCTTTCAGAGATCTGAAACGATTTGCTTATAGACGCAGGAGAATTACTTCAGATTCTGCCATTGTGTTGTACCATCATGTTGCTTCTAGTCTAGACAAAGGCCCCAAGTACGTTTGCTGTGCCTTCTTATTTTACACGTATGTTTTTGATTCTGTTCTCAGACCACTCTTGTTAAATAAGCTTACTATGGCTCTTGTTTTGCGGCTAAATTCTTTATACAGCTTCTTGAAATCGTCGTTCGACTATGTATGTATTTGTTGTGTCCTACTCGGAATGGTTATTCATCGCATTACCCTTCTTAGTGATATCCTGCAATTAGATTAGAAAATCAACACATGAGATGCATGAGGATTAATGATATTTGCTACAAAAAATTAGTTGCATAGACCAAATGGCCTTCAGTGAAAAAAACCAACAGTTTCAGGTATGCAGGGTACTTGCTTTTTCAGTTAGTTTACTAATCGGTTACCATTACATTGACAACACAATAGCCGTTATTTTTGAACGAATACTTCCTGTGCTAGTTGGATGGAGGCAATCGGCAGGATACCGTGGACATAGGTTTCATGCTTTTTCGCATTCGTCAGGAAGGCTCATCTGCAACCTCTACGGAACCGATGCCCCATCTTAGATTCAAACTTGCGTCACCCAATGCTGTAGTCAGAGACGTTATCATCGAGCTACTTGGGCTGCGATTGGCCTCCTGTAGGACTAGATTAGATACATTGGTTGGTCACTGGCGGGCAGGCGGGACATCAGTTCCATAGAAGTTGTAGATACACCTTGCTGACGAGTGTCAACAAGCACGAAACCTAGGTCAAGCAGGGCTTCCTTCCGATTGCCTCCATCAAAGTACATCGCGATGCCGGTCTGCCTAGCCTGGTGGCCATATTGCAAAACAACAGATGGAATTCGATCAGCACTTGGGACTAAGCAATGTGATGTTGGTTACCCTCCAGCGACTAGTCAATGTATCTCCTGCATGTGATGAAGTCACAGAATCACCTAAGACTTTGACATTCTGTCATAGGATTCATGAGAGTATCCTGAAATGTATTTTTATGATTACGTCATATCTGGATAGATACAAACAGGAAGATGCTCTGTACTTGAACTATCATATTGTACTTATACTGTAGCGTGAAATCATGTAGTCTTCTCTGTAGCTGATGACTACTAACTGGTTGATTTACTCACCAGTGCACTATAAAAGGTCACCAAAAGTATGAGTATACATTCTCATAGCGTTCTGTGAAAATAACTCGGAACTTATTGTATTACATTATGATTATTATGTCCGTATTTCGGAAATTGTACAAAAAAGCTTCCCAACCGTTTATACACTTACGTTTTTTTTCCCCCAAAGTATATAGAAAGTATGCTATTCCGTCACAGTTTTCACTGTCAGATATTTACCTGCACATCATCTACAACTTGGACACCACTTATCTTCGAACCAGTTCTTATCATACTTCATGAATGCTGTAATTCATTCGGACCTACTGAAAAGAATATTTCCAAGTATTGTATCATTCCTTTTCCACAAACTGAACATGTTGATGTCAACACTGCTATCCGCTTGCAAGATAAATTATACTTGTACTAGCACAATTCGTACGACTATTCCGTCTGTTTATTATGTTGAGGAGTATGTGTTTTCTTTTCACAGCACTTACAAAACAGGTATCGAGTAGGGCACATAGAGAATGAAAGCTATCCTAATCATCGTGATGTAGACAGATAGACAGAAAAAATTAACGTAGAACCTCGCACACATATCCATCACCTCAAGTTGCCACAGTTCACTTTAGTACACAGAGAACAGGTAGATAGAATAGGAGTGATATCAAAGTAGACAAAGCTATGTGGAAGAATAAACAATCTGAAGATAACAATTAGTGCAAATATTCAAACTTCTTTAGAAGATATCAAGGAGTGAATAAATACATCTGCGACATTGTGCCGATTTTCAACCATGTCACCAAGTGTCCTCAACCATTGGAACCCCAACCAGACAGTTTTCATCTCCCCACACAACTCAGACTAATGGTCAGAGACTTTATCGACTAGTGCTATGTTCTGGTCTGGCCATCCTGAACCTTCTTCCAACCTGATCCAACTTCTCCCAGCATGACACGTCGAGGTAGGCGGTGACTCGGCATGCTCAGTACATGTCCAAGCCACCTCAGACAATGGAAGTTCACAACCTCATCATCAATCGACTTACCTATCTTGCCTAGTACCCTTCACCTGACCTCAACATTACTCACACAATGATTCCAGCAATCGCGAGCAATGCTATGAATACACCTATGATCAAAAGCTGAAAATGACTTCAAATCTTCTCATTTTAACGGCCATTTGTCCCAACCGCATAGCAGGATAAAACAGAGTGCAGTGGGGGTATACTCGTTGTTTGATAGACAGATGGATATCTCGCCAGTCGGAGTGACAGGTGATGCGAATTGGCCAATGCCAAACCAAGCTTCTCTGTCGCAGGTGAGATTTCGTCAGCAATCAGCTCATTTGGGCTGAAGCAACTTCCGAAGTAAGTGGATTGGTTGACATGTTCCCCCACTTCACTCCCTATCATTAATCTGGTAGTACTTGCAGCAGCAGGCCAGTCTTGGAGCATCATCTCACACCTGACAAGTGCCATCGATCACTTGCTCTGCATTTCAGTTTTTCAAATCTGTTTTTTTAGTGTGAATAAAACACTTTTCAACTGGTTATGTGAAGCTACTTAGTATCAGTTGCCCAGTATATTGATCTATTTGTTGCTGACAGAGAATAGGTTCTGTAATTAGTTATAGTTATTTTAGATGCGCTATTATTTTTATTATTGGCATCAGAAAAGGAAACTTATAGTTTGACATGTGTAGCATTATGTAGATTTTTTTTCTGGAAGCCTTTGCAGCCTGTAAATACACACACCATTAGCTTGAATAAATGTCAGACAGTTCACCTTAATGAATATATTACTACGTTCCAAAATGTATAATCTTACCGAAATTTATCCAGTCAGTCAAAGAGAGACCTTTTGTATTAAACTGTTATTAGTACAATTACTCTCGGTTTTTCTTATTGATTTGCATCCCTTTGACGAAAACATCGATTATACTGCTGTCATCTTTCTGTACAATGTTTGTGTAGCTATTAACTTCGCTTCCATTAGTAATAATCTTTGTCATATCGTTTCTCAATTTTTTTCAATAGCGTACTTAGCCAGTTTGCTTTCCACTTATCACCAACATACGAACTAAACAATCGACAAAATATGCTTAATATTCAACAAAATGGCATTACTGGGCCTAATTCATTTGTCTCATCTTCAGACATCCTAACTCGTCGGATAAATAAGTCTAGCTCAAAGTTATTATCTATAATGGGTAATCTGTCAGAATTACACAAGGTGAAACCCTTACAACGGTTAATGACCGCCTCGTCCGTAGTTGATCCAATGAATGACCCACCTAGTTTATCACTGTCGTCAACTCTCATAGCGAATGATGAAAACTCAAATGAAACAACAGCAATGGACAATAACGTGGCCAGTGCTACTGGAACAGGAGCTACTGGAGATATGTTAGTCAAGTATCATCTGTTCAGCTGGGAAATGTAACAGTAGGCTGTAATAAACTGACCTTGTGATTGTTTCTATTGTTTCACTGTATCATTTTGAACCAATGCAAATCAAACTGGTTTTCCTGTGATCTTGCCTAGTGTACTTTCCTCCTTCAGCCTCCCTCCGTGTTTTTTTGTTTAGAACATTGACTTTTATTTTGCTCTACTATTTAATATCAATATAAATGAATCAATGATTCATGAATATTGTCTTTTTGCTTTCAGTGTCTTTCGTTTTCCAGACTTAGTTATTTGATAATATTTTGAAGGGTTATTTTTCTCTTTTCTTCTGTAAACCTATTCGTTCGTAAATTGTCGTATCATGGACTTATCCGTCCTCTTTGTTGGTCATAAACACACATACATACACCTCTGTCATGTTGTTGTCATCCTCGTGATGGTGATTGTGATTGTATCTGAGACTGGTTTTATTCTCAGTCGCGTTGTCCACTATACTGTTGTTATTGTAGTTTTTTTGTCTAGCTTCAGGTGAACCTTTCATATCATATGAGCAATTCATCTTTATTTATAAGTAGTAATTTGAATTACCCTTTGATGGTGAGGAGTGGTTAGCAAGTTTTGTCACAGATCCACTTGTGTTGTATTTGTTTTGATGCATTCAGTTTTCTTGTTTGTATTTTAAGACTTTTTTTAAAACAAAAACTCATCCTTTTCCTTGTGTGCATATTGTATTTTCTTGACAGGTTTCGTTTGTCTTGTTCACTCCTCGCATGCGTGTACAAGAATAGTACTTTTTTGACTTGATATCTGATACTACTAGTATTTTTATGAGTAGTATATATACACTTACATATGTACGTTGGTCAACAACCGTGCTTATCGAAGAAACTATCCTCTGTACCTACATAAATGTGATTAATGGATCTGTTTCCTTTTTATAACTCTTATTTTTTTGTCTATTTTGTAAATTTGGATTTGTTTACATTTTGTTTTCTCTTGTTTATTTGTGTATGTATGTGTACCTGAGCATATATTACCCATGAATATTTGTAGGTTTTTTGTTCTTGACTGCGGTTTTGTTTTCTTCCTGTTTTTTGGTGTATTTGTTTGTTCGCTTCCTCTTCTTTTGATTACTTTGTTGTTGTTATTAGTATGCACTTATATCGGTGTTCAGTTTCTATCTCTCGCTCTCTTTCCCTTTTCACCCACCTACCATCATTTTGATCCACTCTCCAGTTTGTCACCATTCTATCTGTGATCTAACAGATTCAGAATTGTTCGTCGTTTTTGAACGTGTTCATGTATATTGTGAGGTTGTTGAGAAAAAGAACCGTCTATGAAAATAGTTAATATTTTTCGACCCAATTTATTCAATCCATAAGGAGAACCTAACAGTTAGATGCCATATATGAATTCGTTTTACTTTGCACATGGAGGCCATTATGCTTGGTGATGGCTAGCAGTGGAATCCAGGATGCACATTTCATCCTATTTAAGACTCGTCAACTGAATGTATATACACCCAAGTGAGTGATTGTTATCCCAACACCCACTGCTTCAAACGCCAAAGCGTTATCCACTAGCCCATTGAGGCACGACAGCTCTCTCTCGTACAACGAGTATTAGTTGTTATTTATTGATACTTGTAGTTTCCGTTGTTATGCTGGATTGAATCGATCCACCTTTGTTGGAATTAGGCGTTTGAGGTGACAGGTGTGGAGATCAAGCTACACTGTAAACACCACCACTCTACCAAATACCGTATTATCTGTGTCCAAATTTGTCTTTATTGACACAAACAGTTCAGTGAAATTAAATCAAATCTTCATCGCACCTATATTTAGTTTTACTCCTTTGATCTCCAAGAACTGTGCCACTGGAGTAAGTGAGCTCTTAATACTGTCGAACTGATGCTTTATTTTATATGGACGATAACTCGAAATGTCTGTAGAACTGCTATGCAACACAATGGCTGACTTCAACAAAATATTCACTTTGTCAATTTGTATATCGAAAGAATTTTGGAAATAGTGTTTGGTTATGTTTCGTTCTTCAGGGGAGGGACTAATTATTTCTGCCACAATTCTAAGTTACAATATTAGTTCCTGAAATATCTACACACTTTTCTTAAGATTGAATATCTAAAATGTTGGAAGTCAGTAACAAAGATCATAATTGCTGTTGCATCTAGGAGGGCTGTGCAGAACCTGACTGCAACATTGAGAGATTGGTTTTATCAACAGCTATACAAATCTTGAGAGTAGTATGTAGAACGCGCTGAACATGGAGGTGAATTGTGGAATAGCTTCAGGGTTTCATCGCTCCAGTTCATCCCCTTCTTTAA